CGTTGGCACGCCCTTCAGCCTTGGACAGGGTGGTGGGGCCCTGGGATGGCCCAGGGGTCGCCCTTGTCTCTTCACACTGCTCCAAGTGTGCACTCAAAGCACCGAGCTGCCCTCCTTGCTCTGTCCTTGCCCCTCTGCCTTGTGCAGCATGGGGCAACAGCCACTGGGATGCATGCGGGCGAGGGCAGTGAGGTGCACCGGTGGGGGAGGGGGGCTCCCGCCACATATGTCACAAGCTGGTGGGCCCACCTTACAGACAGGACTCAACCTTGACCCCTCTCGCAAGGACGCCAAGGGCGCTGGGGACACCCTCAGGGCGAGGTCTGGATGTGTCAGGATGAGACAGAGGAGCGGTCCTGTTGGCACTTGCCCTTTAACCTGCTCAGATGCCAGCCACGCGCAGCTCCGCCTGGCTGCTGGGACCTGCGTGTCCCCACTCCATCCAAGCCTGGCCGAGGGCCATGCGGCTGCCACCTAGGGGCCACCCTGCGAGTGACAAGCGGCCTTAAGGCTGGAGGGGGCCAGGGCAGTGACCACCCCTCGCGTGCCTCCTGAGCTGTGCTGAGGCAGGGTCCGGGCCTGTGGTCACCCCACTCAGTGAGAGCTGCTCTTCCAAGTCTCCCATGACAGTGCGCCAGCCTCGGTGACGAGGACCATGCCGATGGGGAGGCTTGGGCGCTGCCACCACGAACCTCGGTTCTGGTGGATCCGTGTTCTGGAACACCAGCATGCCCAGAAACTGGAGTGAGGCTCGCCGTGGGGTGAGTCACAAAGGAAGACGGAGCAGGGCAAGCAGCAGAGGGAGAAAGACCTACTGGCCACACAGGAGCGCAGGGGCAGAGGGAGAGAAGCAAAAGCCGCAAGCTTGGCCCGCTCTGTTCTTCTCACCGTGAACCTGATCAGGGGACGTGGCCGTAACACAGGAATTGGAGGAGCACGCGAGGACACTCCAGTGGTGTGGCGAGGCACCCTCAGGAGAAGCCAGAATGTGCCGTGTTTGGGCAACGTGCACAGCTCCGTCCTCGCAGCGGAAGCCTGCACCGAAGGCATGGAACAGGGACAGCTCTTCCGGTTTAATGCTGAAGTCCTGCGCTCCTTTTGCCCACCCTAAAAAGTCTCCCTTCACCAGGAAACCAATGGTGCCCGCTTCTTTCTGGAGGAGCAGTCAGCTCCCCTCCGGCTGGGATGTGGGCACCAGTGCAGATGGCCCCAGGCAGTCCTCACCCCAACCACGTGTTTATGGCTGAACTGGCAAATGAGCAGCACCCCTGGTCCAGAGTGAGTGTGTGTTTCATGGCAGCCAGGTTAGGAAGATGGGAAAAACAAAGGCCACGCGGCAGGCCTGGTGTGATGGCTCCCTCTGGAATCCCACATGGGTGCCGGTTCATGTCCAAGGACGGACCCAAGCTTGGGACCCCGCACCCGCGTGGGAGACCCAGAAGAGGCTCTTGGCTTCGAATCGGCTCAGCTCCAGCTGCAACCATGTGGCGAGTGGACCAGTGGACAGAAGATCTTCTTCTGTCTTCCCTTCTCTGTGTAAATCTATCTTTCCAATAAATCTTTTATTTATTTTTGTTGGAAAGGTGGATCCCAGGGTGTTCAAGGTGAGGACTTTAACCACTATGCTATCACCCCGGGCCCTCCAATAAATCTTTAAAGAAAAAAGTGACCCAGCAAAGTCTGGGGAGCAAGGCACGTGCCCCTGGCTGTGTGGCATCCTCTCCAGCAGGGTCGGGCAGCCAGGGAGGCGCCCCCTCCCAGGACTTCCACCAGGGATCTCAGGGGGTGACAGGTCCTGCCTTGGCCTGGGCCTCCCAGGGACAGCTGAGGGTCCAACGTGGGTGGCAGGTACAGCCAGTAGGCGTGGCCCGAGCTGCAGGTGTGGGCAGTGTGACGGCAGCAGTGGTTCCGTCCCAGGGGTGCTCAGGACTCCTGTGGTGGAACCTTGGGCTCTGCCGACCCACTGCACCCACCTCAGAATGTGGCTGCTGGCACTGTGCCCTCTTGCTGGCGCCAGGGCTCCCAGCCGGTGTGGCCTTGAGGAGGCTCCGAGGGGAGCTGGTGTGGGCTCCCCAGGCCTGCCGAGGCCCAGGACTATGCTGGAATGCATGCGTGTTCCCTCCCTGAGCTGCCGTCGGGGTCTGTGAAGGTGGAAGCTGCTATGTGGGCGAGTGGCCCACCCTCCAGGCTCTTCCGAGGCCCCCAGCAGCACCGGCCTCCACCTGCCGCTGGCCCCTGGGCAGCAGAGAGGCCTGTCCCCGAGCAGAGGTGGACAACGCTGCCGTGGTCTCCTGATGCCTGCCCTGAAGCAGTGTCGCTCCCTGCCTGACAACCCGGCCTGCCCAGGGGCCAGTGTTGGGCCCCGGAGCCCCGTCTGGGTCAGAGAGGATGCCCCTAGGGAAGCAGGCTGGGAACACGGCCACTCCCAAGGCGTGGCACCTGGGCACACAGCCAGCCGGGGGGGCGGCTGCGCAGCACACAGTCCCAGGGCCTTTCAGGCTTGTGAGCCAAACGCTGCCTCTTCACATACTTGGGAATCCTGAGATTCTTGGGGGAGGTCCCCAGGAGAGGCAGCAAAGCCGGCACTTCCTCATCCGCCACACCACAGCTCCAGGGACACAGCATCCCACAGCTCTGCTAAGCCTGGCCGTCACATGCGAGGGCCCGGCCACGTCAGCCAGGCCAGTGGGTGTCTCAGCGGAGACCCCAGTGCCACTGGCCCCCGGCCCAGCGCCTGCACCACCGTCACCACCTCCTGGGTATGGGACAGGTGGACCCCCTGCCAGCTTCCCTGGGGCAAGGCTGGGGCCCCCGCCTTGTTATGGAGCGTCAGGGGTCACCAAAGCCGAGTACAGACGGTGAACGTCACCACTGAGCCTTCCTGCCCCCTCCCAATGGGGTCCCCTGCTTCCCCACTTGCCCCCAACAGTAGAGGCTCCGCTTCTGCAGGATCAGCCCACACCACGACCCCCCATCAAATCGTCTATCTTCCAAGCCTCTTCGCCCCAGCAATGGGCAGGGTTCCGGTGCCTGAGGACCCAGCCTGCCACCACCTTCCTACCCACCTGCTCCCAGGCTCACCTGACCTCCTGTCTCACACCTCATTCCACCCTGAGGTGCTGCCCTGGGCAGTGACGCAGCCTGGCCTTTAATGAGCAGCTGACCTGGGCACCTCTACCCAGGGGCACTCCTCTGGGCCCCCTGCCCAGCTCTCCTGTCTGGAGTCATTCGGGAAGCCCATGGGGCCCCAGCACCCTTGCCTGCCTGCACTCAGTATCTAACTGGGCTCTCTTGCCGGAACCTTTCTTGTTTTGAAGACTCCCCACCCGCTAGCTTCCTCTGTACATGGCCGCAGTAGCCGGGGCAGGGGCCACGCTCCTGAGCAGGGAGCTGGACGGGGAGTGGGGCAGACGGGACAGGAGCTCTCAGGGTCTCCCACATGGGTGCAGGGCCTGAACCCACACAGGCACATCAGCAGGGATGACTCGGAAAGTGTTGGGGTAACCTGGCACGCTCCACACTGGACTTGGGGGGCCCTGGGGTTAGATGGTGATGATGATGGTGAGATACTCGATCCTTCTCCAAGACAACTGACCCCCCCAGGCTCGGGCACGTGCTGGCCCCCAGTGTGAGATCCGGGGCCTCGCAGTGCAGGGCTGTGGTAACCAGGCTGCAGGTGGGCACTGTGGAAGCAGTGTCTGCCCTGTCCTCCTGTCCCGGGCTCCCGCCCCACTCAGCCCTCGCCTCCCAGCACTGCAGGGGAGGGGGCCAGGAGGCTCTGGGGAAGCCCGGCCTGGTGACCACTGACCCGATGAGGCACAGGGTCCCTGCTCGAGAGGCCTGTGGGGGAGGGGTCCCAACAGAGTCGAGTCACCACATGGGAATTGGGCATCTGCGTCAGGCCAGCCCGTGTGGGTGCTGCCCACCGCACGGAGTGTCCTTCAGGCCCGGCCCTGGCTGTTGAGCCAACAGGTGCTCTGCTAAACCTGGGAATGAACAAACAGGACAAATAAGGGATTGGACCAGAACTGGTGGATTCGAGGGCAGTTAACGGGGTCCTGGCATCCCATGTGGGATGCAGGGCAGGGCAGGGCCAGGCAGGGCAGGCCAGGCCAGGTCCGGGCAGAGCAGGGCAGGGCAGGGCAGGGGCAGGGCTGGACAGGGCAGGGCCAGGCAGGGCAGGGCCGGGCCGGGCAGGGCAGGGCAGGGCCAGGCAGGGCAGGGCCGGGCAGGGCCAGGCAGGGCCGGGCCGGGCAGGGCCAGGCAGGGCAGGCCAGGCCAGGCCAGGTCCGGGCAGAGCAGGGCAGGGCAGGGCAGGGGCAGGGCTGGACAGGGCAGGGCCAGGCAGGGCAGGGCCGGGTAGGGCAGGGCAAGGCAGGGCAGGGAAGGGCAGGGCCGGGCAGGGCAGGCCAGGTCTGGGCAGGGCAGGGCCGGGCAGGGCTGGGTCAGGAGCACTGGCGGCCCAGGTCACGCCCACCCATCTAGGGACCCCTCGGGAGAGCAGGGTAGGGAGTGAGTGCCAACACCAGCCCCTGGCTGCTGGCTTCCTAAGATGCTCAGGAGCCGGGGTCATCCCCTGAAGCTTCCCACCACTGCAGCTCACCCCCTCTTCTCCCTATGTTGGTTTGGGGGTGCAGAGGGTCCCACCACTGCTGGACGGGGAGGCAGTTCCAGGCCCGAGTCCACACTGTTTATTAGCCCTCAGGAGGGGCCATCGGTGCGCTGGGGGCAGACCTGGGGTGGGTTTGGCTGCAGCAGGGAAAGGCCCCTTACGGCATATCTGCCCCCAGAGGCCCACGTTCCAGGACAGTTAAAGCAGGTGGGGCTGGACAGCAGGTCTCCTTGGCTCCCAGGGCTCTGCCTGGAGACCTGGGCGGGGCAGCGGCCGCAGGACCCTAAAGCTGTGGTCCCTCTTGAGTGGTCAGGGGCAGGCTCTGCTCAGCCACCAGGTCCTCCAAGGACGCTGCAGGAAGGGTGGGGCGGGGCGTACAGCCACTCCAGGCAGCCCTGGGGTGGCCTGGCCTCTCGTCCCTGGGTGCCGCACGGGTGGGGGTGGCGCTGCGGGCTGGGGAAGGACCGTGCGTGGCCCAGTCAGGATGGGGCCTTTGTCCCAAAGTGCTGGCGCAGCTGTTCCAGGAAGACAAAGGTCAGCACGGTGTGCGGGATGAGGCGGACGGCGGCAGGAAAGAGGCCCTGTGGGGACGGGGAGAAGGGCCAGCTGGGCATAGGGCCCTGCCCCCACAGGCCCCGCACATCCCGGTCCCAGACCCCAGACGCACCTTGTAGAAGGCCAGGGGTCCCAGCTTGGCCGTCTCCAGGGCGCAGTGGAACACGCCCTGAAACAAAAGTAAACGCAGCTGCCACCTGGATGAAGGCAGGAGGCCCAGGACCCAGGTGCCAGCCAGCCTGCCAGGGAGCCCAGGGCGCCAGCCCGCCCGCCAGGGAGCCCAGGGCGCCAGCTGGGGCAGGCAGGACTGGAGGGCCAGGCTGGGATGGGAAGTGGGGAGGTCCAGGACACAGCTTGGAGTGAGGGAGTGGCATGTGCTCCCCTCCCCCTGGGCACTCAGCCCAAGTTCACGGACAGCAGAGAACGGGCTACCCGTTAACCTGTAACCCATCAGACTCACACGTGGGGGCTGTGTAGGAGAGGGCGCCCCGGCACCCTCCTGCCCGTCCCCCTGCCCCGGGCCCTGCCCCCACCTTGTACTCCCCCTTGGCGTTCATCAGGCGAGTCTTGAGCACGTCCAGGGGCTGGCACAGGAAGGTGGCACATCCGCCCTGGGGGTGGAGGCTTGTCACGCTGGGCCCGCGTGGGTCAGGGACCCCAGGGCACCCCACCGGGCACTTACAGCAATGAAGCTAGCAACAAAGTGTGTGAAGATGCCATCCGACAGGTAGCCAGTGCCCAGAACCAGCTGCTTGGCTTGGTCGTAGCAGGACAGCTGGGGGCGGGCAGTCAGGACACAGTCACACCTCCTGCCCGTCGGCTGGGCACAGACAGCCGTGCCCACCCACCCGGCCACAGTGACTTCCTCAGCAGTGCACCCCGAGCCCCGCTCCCTGGCAGGAGCCCTACCTGACCCACGGTGACCAAGGCCCCGCGGCTGGATGCCATGGTCGCGCCTGAGAACAGCTTCTTCAAGCCCTCTGCATGGGGAAGGGGCGAGGTTGGCGCTGGCCTGAGGCCCCGGGCCACTCCCCGCCCCGACTGCCACGGGCTCCCTCACCTTCCCGGAACACGCGGAACAGGCCGTCCAGGGCGTGAGCATAGCTGTGAGGGACACGGGCCGTGAGGGTCACCTAGCACCGCTCCCACGCGGGGCAGAGGGTCCGAGTGCGCCCACTCACCCTTCCCGGGCACACACCACGGCCCGACCCTCCCCACCACGACCCGTGGGCTCGCAGGGCGTGGGCAGCTGCTCGGGGTCGGGGTGGGGCTGGTCGCTCACTTGCGCCGTTGCTGGGGGTGCAGCTTCATGTCATTCTGCATCCTGGGACGGGGAGACGCCGCGATGTGGTGAGTGCCCACGGCAACCACCCAGTGCCCAGCACCCCGTGTGGGGGGCACACACCCACCTCACGTTGACCAGGTCTGCAGGGGTTCCCACGAAGCCTCCGGTTAGACCTGGGGGGGACAAGGACCTGGAAGTCCACGTGAGGCCTCGGACCCCTGCGGGCTGCCCACCCACACCGGCCTGCCCCTGCTCACCGCTGATGCCTCCCAGCAGCACCTTGTGGTGGAAGGGCAGGGGCCCCTGACTGCCCTTGCTCAGACGGTCTCGCACGCTCTCGTATATGGCGAAGCGAGTCAGGGAGTAGGTCATCTGAGGGCGGGGTGGGCTCAGGGCAAGGCCTGCACCTGCAGCCCCCAGCCCCTCCCTCGCCCCAGACCTCCCGTCTCCCCGTGGAGGTCTGACACCCACCCTGGGGTCCCGCCTGCTAAGAAACCAGGAAGAGGAGAAAGCAGTTGGGAGGCCAGTTCTGGTGGGGAGGTGATCCAGGGGAGGATGGGACCACCGGGGGTCAGGGACAAGGAGCTGAGGGAGAACGAGGCCCTGGAGCAGTAGACCTGGGCTGGGTGGCGGCCATGGGGTGCAGCCTGGGGCTGGGGGCAGGCACTGGGGGCAAGGCCTGGGGCTGGGGGGCGGGCACTGGGGGCAAGGCCGGGGCTGGGGGGCGGGCACTGGGGGCAAGGCCTGGGGCTGGGAGGCGGGCACTGGGGGCGGGCACTGGGGGCAAGGCCAGGGCTGGGGGGTGAGACCCTGCGCTGGCGGCCACACCTGGCGGCAGAGCGAGGCACTGAGGCCGTTGTACAGAGCCAGGATGCCATCTCTCCGTACCACCTGCAGCGCCATGCCCGTCATACGGAGCTTCACCTCCTGCTGCGTTTGCAGGTGCACCTGGGGGAGGGACACACCGCTGGGACCCAGGCGTCCAGGGCAGAGGCCGGCGTTCACGCGGAGACTGAGGCAGGGCAGGCCCAAGGCCTGACCCCAGCGGTGATGACCAACAGGGTGGCCACGCGGGCCAGGGTCCTCCTGGCACCCAGAGGTATGAGAACAGATGAGAGAACATGGGGACCAGCCGGGCTTCTGGGTCCTGACATGGGGGGCTGGGGGTTGGGTGCGGGCGTGTGGGGACTGGGCTGGGGGCTGGGTGCGGGCGCGTGGGGGCTGGGTGCGGGCGCGTGGGGGCTGGGTACGGGCGTGTGGGGGCTGGGCTGGGGGCTGGGTGCAGGCGTGTGGGGGCTGGGTGCAGGCGTGTGGGGGCTGGGTGCGGGCGCGTGGGGGCTGGGCTGGGGGCTGGGTGCAGGCGCGTGGGGGCTGAGCTGGGGGCTGGGTGCGGGCGTGTGGGGGCTGGGCTGGGTGCTGGGTGCGGGCGTGTGGGGGCTGGGCTGGGTGCTGGGTGCAGGCGCGTGGTGGTGGGCAGAGCTGGTGAGCCCCTAGGCCTTCCCCAAGCGTCCCAGCTGGTCAAGGACAGTGGGCACAAGAGAGACGTATGAGAACCACTCATCCACACCCCCAGCTGCCTGAGGTCGCCCCAGCCAGGCCCCCCAAGAGTGCTGGGACGCCACGGGGGACCAGGCTCTGCCCCTCCCACACTGGCTCCAGGCCAGGGTGGCCTCAGGACCCCGCCCGGACAGAGGGCACGGCGCATGCTCGGAGGAGGGCCAGGGGGCAGCAGCAGGGCAGGGCCCAGGGGCGGGCAGCATGTGGTGCCCCCGGGGACCACGGCACCTGCGGCCAGGACCGCCCGGACCCCACGTCAGTGCAGGACCCCCACGTCAGCGCCCGGGCCCCCAGGTCAGCGCCCCGACCCCCACGTCAGCGCCCGGGCCCCCAGGTCAGCACCTGGATCTCCACGTCAGTGCAGGACCCCCACGTCAGCGCCCGGGCCCCCAGGTCAGCGCCCCGACCCCCACGTCAGCGCCCGGGCCCCAGGTCAGCACCTGGACCTCCACGTCAGCGCCCGGCGCGGCTGCCCAGGAGTCCGGGGCGGCGTGGGCGTGCCCGCGCGCGGCCGGAGCACCCCGGGGTCACTCGGTGGACAAACACGCGCGCCTCCCCGCCGGGGCACCTGCTGCGCCACAGCAGGGTGGGCGCGGGCACCTGCGCGCACCTGGCCCGCGCCCTCCGTCCGGCTCACCTTGAGCAGGTCCAGCGGGTGCGTGCAGCAGGCGGCCCCGCACGACGCCAGCCCCCCGAAGTACCAGCGCGACACGCGCGCCTCGCCCGCCATGGCCGCGCGCCCCGACTGACCCCGGCCCGCGCCGCCCCGCGCCCCGTTCAAAGCGCCGCCCGCCCGCGCCCCCAGCGACCAATGCGGCGGCGCGCGCGCGGGGCGGAGCCGGCCACGTCGGGCCGCGCACGGCGCCTTAAAGCGGCCGCGGCCCCGCGGCCCGTGCCCACCGGCTGCGAAGGCCCGCCGGCCCTGACCTTGCCGCCTGCCGCTGGGCACGGGCCTTGGCTGGCGGGTCGCCCGCGTGTGGGGCCGCACGACCTTCGTCCCCGGCGCCGCAGAGGCCGTGTCCTGGCCATGCGCGGGCGTTCCTTGCCGAGGGGGCGGGTTCGAGCCTGGCTGCCGGCCAGACAAACGCAGGTGGCAGGGCAAAGGGGAGTCCTCAGTGCCCCAAGTTGCTTTGGGGCTGCGTCAGGCCTGTGGGGACCCGCTGCCCTGCGCCGGGCAGGGCTGGGAAGTGGCGTCCAGCCTGAGGGCCTCACGGACGGCCCTCTAGAGGACAGGGTCTGGGGATCAGCGACAAATGGGGCTGGAGTGGGAGCAAGCATGCCACACCAGGCCTGGGGGACAGCAGGGCTGGCATGCACCAAGGAGCCTGTGGGCTCCAGGAGGGCCTGGCTGCCCATCGGAGCAGTCCCAGGGCACTTGGGGACTGACCAGGAGCCTGGGCGCAGGGGCCGTGCCGAGCGTGCAGCAGGTGGTACCCCTGCCAGCTGCCCCTGAGCCCCTGAAGGATGGGAGCCGCCGTGGCCAGGGATGGAAACAGACGGCTGCCATTTGCTTTGAAGTTTTATTTGAAGAGCTGAGAAAAGACAGAGCAGACCGCCAGCCCCACCTGCCTGCACAGCCAGGATTCCCAGTGTGTGGCTCCTGCACCCTGTGCCTCGGGAGGGGCCTGGCCGGAGACCAGCCTGCCCAGTCAAGGCCCTGACCGTTTCCTGGGGGCCACCAAGCAGAGAGCCCTGGCTCCTGCAGGGTGCCCACACCCACTTCCATGCAGGCAGGTGTGGTCTTGCACGCCAGGGTTCGGCCGGTACCCACAGGCCACAGGGAAGGGCCTGGGGACCCTCACGGGGCAAGGCAGCCCCCTCTCCCAGTGGCAAGTCCTTGGCTCCGGGGTGGCCACAGTCTCCCCGGGGTGGCAGGGGGCAGTGCGCCCAGGACCTGCTGCTGGACAGTCGTTAAGCCGCGGCAGCCGGGCTGGGCCACACCCCCAGGCACTGGCTGGTTTTGCAAGAGACCGAAGCCAGAAGGCAGGGCCCCTGAAGGCCTGCTGTGGGGCCCACTGTCCCCCGACCCCTTGGGCACCCAGAGCACCCAGTGCACCTCAAGGCCTCCCCTGGGGCACCCCCCCATGCACGCACGCAGAGCCCGCATCGAAGGAGCCGCCACAGTGTATTTGTCTCAGAGCAGCAGGAGTGTCCACCAGGCCATCGGCTGCCGCCCCCTCCCAGCACAGCAGGTGGGCCTGTCTGCCCGTGGCTGGCCACGTTGTGCTGGACCCCCGCTCCCCAAGTCCCTGGCGCTGGGGTGGCAGGGGCCGGCCTGCGAGTCCTCAGTCCTCGTGGCTACTCCAGGACCACGGTGCCGCCCACGGCTTCCAGGGCCGCCTTGATCTTCTCCGCCTCGGCCTTCACCACGTTGGCTTTGATTTCCTGAGGCAAAGACTCCACCAGCTTCTTGGCCTATGGGGACAACGGGGTCAGGACGCGGGCGCAGGGGTCAGGATGCAGGGCGGCGGGGCCGGGCACGGGCAAAGCGGTCAGGGCCGAGCCCCTGTCGTGGTCAGCGTGCCCACCTGCACGAGGTTGATGCCCTGGATGTAGTTCTTGATCTCCTTGATGAGCTTCACCTTGTCCACGGGCTTGGCCTCCGTGAGGCGCACGGTGAAATGCGTGCGCTCCTTCTGCTTGGGCACGTCTTCTTCAGACTCCTGGGAAGGGGCAGTGCAGCTGGCACCTGCAGCCACCCCCTGGGCACGCTAGCCCAGCTCCCCAGGAGGGTGAGGGACCCCACTTCCCACCCAGCTCTCCGCTTGCGGCTAGGGCAGCAGTTCAGCACAGCCCAAGACTCTGTGCCCTCCCGAGACCCGGAGAGGGCTCCAGGCTCCTGGCTGCAGCCTGGCGCAGCTCCAGCTCCTGTCATCCTTGGAGGGAGAGGCTCACCCCGGGGGTGCACGAGCCCGCTCCCCCCACCGGGCCAGGCGGGGCTCACCTCAGGGGCAGGGGCGGCGGCCACAGGGGCAGCGCTGGGCAGCACGGCACCCACGTCCTGGATCTTCAGCGTTTTCTGCAAACAGGCGGGAGTTTGGGGGTCCGCTCAGCCGGGAGCCCAGCCGCCCAGCCCAGCGCCCGCGCCGGTACCTTCAGGAGCTCGTTGAGGTCCGAGAGCTCGAGCAGCGTGAGGCCGGCGATGTCCCGCACCAGCTGCTGCACCTTGGCGGGGTACTCCTTGGGGGCGTTGTCCAGGGGCGCCCCGGCCAGGGCCTCGCCGCGGCGACGGCTGCTGCAGCTCAGGGGGCGCGCGGCGCACACGCGGGGCACCGGCTGCCTGTCCCCGCCCCAGGACGGCATGAGCGCGGGCTGCCACGGCCGCACCGGGCTGCCGCGGCCGCGCACCGGGCTCGGGCACCATCCAAGGTCGCCCGGGGGCCGAGCCCGGAGCTCCGCGCGCTCCCGCCGAGGTCGCGCCCCCCGGCCCCTGCACCGTGCCCGGCGACCGCGGGCCCCCCACCCGCCAGGGCGCCCCACCGTACCTGGCGAGGCGCAGTCCCAGACGCGACCCCCACAGGGGGCGAGCGGCCGCCGGCAGCATCGCTCCGCGTGGGAAGGTCACACGCGGCTCCTGCAGCGACGCTCTAGCCGGGGAACCGGGAGCATACGAGCGTGGCGACGCTCTAGCCCACGAAGCCGACAGCATGCGAGCGGGGGCGACGCTCTAGCCGAGGAGCCGAGAGCATGCGAGCGGGGCGACGCTCTAGCCGAGGAGCCGAGAGCATGCGATGGGGGCGACGCTCTAGCACGCACCTTCTCTAGTCTCCCAGACTCCCGGAAGGCCGCTCGTGGCGCAGGCGCAGAGGGAGGCCGGCGCTCCGTGCGCATCCGTCGGGGCGGTGCAGCGGCCTAGCCTTCCGTCCCCATCCATGTCTGCAGGGCGGGCTCGGCGCGGCCCCGTCGTGTCTGCGGGCGGAGTCCGCACCCAGGCCGCCCGCGCAGTCCCGAGCTCAGCCGGCGGCGGGGCCGGTCAGGGGGTCGCTGCGGGAGACAGCGGGCGCGTCGGCAGCGTTAGTGCGTTAGAGTCTCACGGAGCCGCTGCCGCACGCATTACCGCAGCTATCTCAGCCCCGCAGTGTCTCTCAGTCCCAGTGTCTCTCAGCCCCGCACTGTCTCTCAGCCCCAGTGTCTCAGCCCCGCAGTGTCTCTCAGTCCCAGTGTCTCTCAGCCCCGCACTGTCTCTCAGCCCCAGTGTCTCAGCCCCGCAGTGTCTCTCAGCCCCGCAGTGTCTCTCAGCCCCAGTGTCTCAGCCCCGCAGTGTCTCTCAGTCCCGCAGTCTCTCAGCCCCGCAGTGTCTCTCAGTCCCGCAGTCTCAGAGCCCCAGTGTCTCTCAGCCCCGCACTGTCTCTCAGCCCCGCAGTGTCTCAATCCCGCAGTGTCTCAGCCCGTGTCTCTCAGCCCAGCAGTCTCTCAGCCCCGCAGTGTCTCTCAGCCCCAGTGTCTCAGCCCCGCAGTCTCAAGCCCCGCAGTGTCTCTCAGCCCAGCAGTCGCTCAGCCCCGCAGTCTCAGCCCCGCAGTGTCTGAGTCCCGCAGCATCTCACGCCCCCAGTGACACACGGCTTGTCTGGAACATGTTTAGTTTATTTCCGCACTGGAGGGAGACAGCAGGAGGAGAGGCCGGGGGAGAGCGGGGCTGCGCTGCCGCCCTGGGCGCCCGCACGCCCGACAGGGGTGCCCGTCCGTGAGGCCCAGCCCTGGGAAGGGGTCGGACACTGAAGTGGGGCGCGGGGCGCGGGGCTGGGGGCGCGGGGCGGCGGGCGCAGCGTAGTGTTACTCGGTCAGTCGAAGGAGATGAGCTGGGCTTCGCCGGCCTGCACGGGCGGGCCCTGTGCGGGAGGCTGCGGGGCCACGGGGGGCTGCTGCTGCGGGGGGCCGCCGGCGGGCGCCAGCTGTGGGCGGGGGACGGATGCGGCACTGCCCTCCCAGCTGCCCCCGCCTCCCCGCAGCCCGCCGGGCATCAGCGTCGACGACCCCTGTGCCCACGGGTGGGGTGCCCTCCGCCTCCCTCCGCCCCAGGAGCCCGCGGGGGGCAGCGGCCTGCGGGCGACTCACCTGCTGGTACGGGGGCTGCTGGCCAGCCAGGTAGGGCTGCTGGGGCGCCAGGGACGCGTCCTGGCCCGGGAGCGTGCTCATGAGGTTCTGGGGAGTAAGCCGAGGCCCCTCAGGCGGCGTGGCCGGGCGCACGCCACCGCCGCCCACGGGGGCCCGAGGGTCACGGCGGCATCGGCCACACTCACCTGCATGCTGTAGGGCTGGTACAGGGACACGGACTGGCTCCCCATGTAACCCATGGTGCCCGGCTGCGCGGCTGGCTGCGAGATGGGCAGGCTCTGGGGGGCCTGGGGCGCCACGTTCTGCGGAGGGAGGCGGGGTGAGGGGCGCAGGGCTGGCAGGGCAGAGTGCGGCTGTGCCCTCCCTCCCTGGTACCTGGTAGCCTGGGGCGGCCGTGGGCTGGTAGGAGGAGTAGGCAGAGCTGGCAGCGGGGCCGGCCTGTGCTTGGGGGGCCGCCTGTGCTCCTGTGGTGCCCGCAGGGTACATGTAGGCACCCACCACGCCCGGATCTGCAAGGCAGGAGCAGCCGGGAGGGCGCAGGCCGTGCCCACGGTGCAGGGGACACCACGCCCTGAACAGCCCAACATGCTGGGCCACCGGTCAGGCTGGCCAGGACGTCCCAGTGTCCCCAAAAAGCACAGTGTACACACCTGAAACTCCTGCCTCCCGCCTTGCGGCCCGCCCCTCCCCCCCGCGGCCGGCTCCCTGGACAGAGGTGCAGCCCAAGGTCGCTGAGGGGCTGGCCCGGGCGCAGTCCCCAACACACCCATCCTTCCAGATGGTGACGCCAACATGGATGTTCCTGAGCGGGGAGTGGGAGGACCCAGGCTGTGTGGCTGCCCACCCACAGCGCCGCAGGGTCGGCTCGGTGAGCCCCATGGGCCACAGCTCCAGCTGTAAGCGCTGCCATCCGGGAACCCCCACCCCGGAGGGCCAGGCCAGTTTCCCACCCTGGTGATTCAAAAGGGTGTGCGGGGCGGGGGGCGGCAATCTAGAAGATTCCACATGCCCAACTTTCCTAGAAAGCGAGCTAAACCTGAAATCTGGAGCCACACTCCCACCGCACCCCTTACCTGCCGCTGCAGCGGGCATGCTGGGGTAGGCGCCGGCCGCCGGGGCCGGCTGGCTCATGTACACGCTGTGCATGGGGGAGCCCTCCACCGAGCCTGCGGGGCTGAAGGTGGCTGGGAAGCTGGTCGGGCCCGATGCCTGGTACAGCACTCCCCCGGCCGCAGGCATGGCCTGGAGCTGGGGGGGTGGAGGGGCAGCCGTGAGGGCAGGTCCTCTGCCGGGCGGGGCACAGTGCAGGGTGGCAAGGGTGGGGCCAGCACGTGCCTGGGCGTAGGGCAGGGGGAAGGCGGGCATCTGTGCCCGCATCTGCACTGTCTGCTTCTGCTGCTCCAGGCGCATCTGCCGCTCCTTCTCCTGCTCCTGCAGGCGCTGGATGGCCAGCTGCCGCTGCACCTCCAGGTACTCCTGCAGGCCAGGGGTCCATGAGCCCAGCCCGGCCCGGCCCGCCCCAGCCCGTCAGCCCACCCCAGCCCGTGAGCCCGTGAGCCCGTGAGCCCGCCCCAGCCCGTCAGCCCAAGTCAGCCTGGCCCGCCCCAGCCCATCAGCCCAGACTGTCAGCCCACCCCAGCCCGTCAGCCCGGTGCCCGTCAGCCCGGTGCCCGCCAGCCGCCCCGCTCCCACCTGCTTCTTCTGCCTCATGATCTCCAGCTTCTGGGCGAGCTGGATCTGGCGCTGGCGCTCGGCTTCCTCGGCCGCCCGGCGCAGCTTCTCCCGGTGCTCCTCCCGCAGGGCGCTCAGGGCACCCCGGGCGTCCCGGATCTGCGCCAGCTTGTCCTGCAGCCCCTCGTAGTACACTGCGGGGGCGGGGTGGCGGCAGGTGAGCCTCCCCCAGCCGGCGCTGCCTGCCCGTCCACCCCGCGGGGACCCCGGGACCCACGCCGCCGCTCGTCCAGCTGGTTGAGCAGCTCCAGCAGCTGGGGGTGCGTGCTGCTGATGGACTGGAAGAGCGAGAGCACGGCCGAGTCGTTGGTGATGCTGCGGCCCCGCATGTGGTTGCTCTTCATGCGGTTGACGAAGGTGGTGACGGCGTTCTGCAGCGCCTTCAGCAGCTGCTCGTGGCTCTCCTCCGACTCCCCGTTCTGGTACTGCTGCGGGCACGGGGGCTCCTGAGTGCCCGCCTCCCCCGGGGGCACAGGGGACCTCACACGCGCTCTGCTGTGCTGCAGGCCAAAACCCGCGGCCGGGCTGTCGATGCCCAGCAGGGCCTGACTGGCACAGGGCTGCCACGGGCGCAGAGCCCAGAAGGCCGGCGGGGCTGTGACTTCCTGGTGCCAGAATATCCCGCGCGTGGGCAGCTGCAGCCCACAGCCCGGCGCCTGCAGCCCAGCGCCAAGGGCACGGAGCCCCTCACAGACACCCGTGCCGCAGGCCCGGTGCTCCTGGCACGGAGGACCTGCTGCTTACCTCACTGAAGGGGCCACCGGAGGAGGCCACAGGCTGAGGCTCCGTCTCCAGAAGGCACGTCTGCAAGAAACCAGAGCATGCGCTTCACTGAGCGGGCCCCGCTGGGGCACCAGGAGCCGGGCGTGGGCCAGCAGCACCAGGCACGCCTCACCTCGGCCGTGCTGGCCAGGGCCCCGGGCCCCTCCCCAGGCTGGGTGGCCGGCTCTGCCAGCGGCACGGGCGCCGAGGGCGTGGGGCTCCGTCGCGCCTCCTCCTGCTTCTTCTCCCAGTAGTTGCGGTTGAGGTATCGGGCAAGCTGCATAGCCAAGAGCAAGGTGAGCCGTGCGGGCCGGGCACCGGCGGGGACAGCCCCCCGGCCAGGCCCTTACCTCGGGGTCCATGTCCTCCGCCACTGGAGCCGAGGAGTTCTGGGAGACAGAGGCAGGCTGCGGTCACACGGAGGCGGCCCCACTGCCACCGAGGCCAAGGGGACCCGTGGCCCGGCCCCTTCATCCCTCGCGCCTGGTGTCACAGGGGGCCCCCGTGGCCTGGCCCCTCCATTCCTCATGCCTGGTGTCACAGGGGTTCCCTGCGGCCTGGCCCCTCCATTCCTCACGCCTGGTGTCACAGGGGGCCCCCGTGGCCCCTCCATTCCTCATGCCTGGTGTCACAGGGGGCCCCTGTGGCCTGGCCCCTCCATCCCTCATGCCTGGTGTCACAGGGGGCCCCCGTGGCCCGGCCCTTCCATCCCCTGTGCCTGGGGTCACAGGTGACCCGGCTCTGATGCTAGCAAGCGTGTGTGTGGTGTCATCACGGTCCCAGTGCCACTGGCACACTGACAGGACCCTTGACCCAGCCGGGCAGCCCTGCACCCTACCACTGGTCTATAAGGTAAGGTGGCCAGTCCCTGCACCCCACCCAGAGCATGGGCCTGGGACGAGAAGGGAAAAACGGGGCGTGGCAGGGGTTGGCTCACCACGGGGGATGAATACAGGCTGCCTGCGGGTGGCGCTGATGAGGCCACGGGCGTGGGCTCCGCCTTGGGGTAAGGAGAGTAGCTGGATTTCTGTCTCTGTACAGGGCGGGAGGGAAAGGTCACGGGGGAGGCCGGCACACGTCCGCGGGGACCCCCACAGCAGTTCCGGGGCCCCAGCTCACCAGCCTCTCCTTCTCCTCGGCCTCTGACTGCGACAGGGCCAGCGCCAGCTGCAGCTCCTCCTCCTCCTGCAGGGCTGTCTCATCCCGCTTTGGGGGCAGCTGAGGGTGGAAGGGCCAGTGAGGGGCCAGGGCAGAGGTGCCCGGCGAACAACGGGCCACGGAGCGGGGAGTGTGGCTACCTGGGACTGTTGTGACAGGGGGCTGGTCAGGTACTCCGGGGGCAGCTCGGAGGTGGTGGTCGCCTTTCCTTCGGCTTTCCTGGAGGACAGCAGGCACGGTGAGCGGCTGTGCTCCCCTCGGGGTCTGCCCGGTCCCCACGCGGCGACCGTCCTGCCCCCCGAGCGCTGTGCTCCGAGCCATCCCACAGCCAGCAGAGCCTGGGCCTCAGGACGGGCCGCAGCGGCGAGGCTGGGGCTCCCAGACACTGGGCCACGTGACCACAGCCACGGCGCAAAGTGCTGGAAAGGCAGCTCCACCTGGAGGAACCGTCCTGACGCAGGGCTGCCTGGCACAGCAGCACAGGTAGCCCTGACTCGCTACCACGTCCAGCCTCCTGCCACTGCACGCCTGCCCCAGGAGGCAGCGGGTGACGGTCCCCAGCACCCACAGGACAGTCCTGGTCAAGTTCACACCCGAGCCAGCCTTGGCCGCAGTGGGCAGCTGGGGTATGAAGCAGAAGTGTGTCAGCTCGAAGGCGACACAGAGCTGAAGGCCGGGCACGGGCGGCAGTGGGGGGCAGAGCGAGCAGTGGGGGAAGAACGTGGGCAACAGGCAGAGCTTGAGGGGACAAGGGGAGCAGAACACAAGTGGCCTGCACCACCAGGGTGGTGCCCACAGCCCAGGAGCCACATGGCCACGCAGGAACAGGATGCCCGTGTGGTTGGGTTCTTGGGATGGGAGCCCCAGGAGATTCCCGTTCCCAGCACAGCCTGAGCCATGCACAGCCCGAAACTCCCCGCACAGCACCACCGCCAAGGGTGCCGACTTCCTCCCTGACGAGGTGCCACACACTACCCACCACACCCAGCCCCAGCTCCGGGGGAGTGCAGTTCTGGGTCTCCCCGCGCACCCCGAGCCCGCAGGGAGCGGCCGCTCCTGGTGCAGGGACTCACTTGTTGAGCTGCTCGTAGCAGGGCTCGCACACGCGCACTTCCTTCTCGATGCCGAACTTGGGGATGGTGGAGTACTTGGAGGAACACCTCCCGCAGAAGATCTGCCCGCAGGCCCGGCAGTGGTGCTGTGCAACAGACGCTGCGGGCTCAACCCTCCTGGGCAGGGGCAGCACCAGGACCCTGCCCCAGGCAGCGTGACTGGCTGACTGCCAAGGGGCTGCCACCGCTCCCTCTGCACCCCAGGGACCCTCTTCAAGAGCACTAGATGACAGCAGAGGGCTGGTGGCCCGAGACTTGAGCGGGCACTCACCTTGCGGGTCACCACCCCAAACTGCACCCTGCACCGGTGGCACTCCTCGGCGTCCACCCAATCCGGGGCCTGGAGAGCACAGAGCCTCAGCTGCGGAGGCCTCCCTGCCCACCCGACTCCACTCACCCCAGCCAGGGGATATGTCAACACTGGAGCATGTACCCTCCATCCAGGGCTCAAGGGCACCTCACCCATGCCCACGTGTCCCCTCAGCACACACAGGACTCACCCAGGGGTTCCCTCGAGCTGGGCCCCCAGGCTCCCCTGCCAGGCCCTCAGCACCCACAGGACTCACTCTCTCGGCAGCAAACATGGCATCACTCTCCTTGAACTCCGGGAAGACGTGCCCTGCAAGGAGGAGGCCAGGGTCGCTGGGGGTCACCCTGTCAGGGGCTTCCTGACCCCAAGCATCTATTTCCTCAAGAACGCCTTGAAGAGGATGCCCTAGCTGGTCTAACCATGCAGGGCCCAGAGGGCCCGGACAGCCTTGGCAGAGGCTCCCCGCAGAGGAGGCTTGAGGCTGCCTGTTGCCCTTGTGGACGCTCCCACCCCTCACTGGGCCCGAGGCCCCCCTTGCACCCGGCCCCAGGCAGCAGCTCACCCCATAGGTGCCCCCCAATGCCTTCTACCATCCTGCCTGCTCATGAGGCCCCACGCAGCTCAGGAGGTGCTTTGTTCAGCCTCCCAGCAGGCCGGCACTGGCAGCTTCTTGGGCTCCTCCCATTCGAGCACCTGGTGTGCAGGCCCCACCTGGCACCCAACACAGGCCACACCCCACTTCGTGACATGGTGGGCGTCCCGAGCCCGTCCTGCCCACTCACCCTCCACCTTCATGATCTGGTAGGTGTCCTGCACCACTTTGTACTTGGGCTCGTTGCGGAAGGCGTGTGCCCAGGCCTGGATCAGCGACAGGATCTTGTTCCGTACGTTCACCTCCACTTGTCGCTGCGAGGGGGCAGAAGTGGGGGGGCCACAGGAAGCTCGGGGAGCCCGAGAGGCCTGTGCATGGCGCGATGGCCAGGGAGACCTGTGGTCCTGAATGGGCCTGGGGACCATGTGGCTCCCAGGCCTGAGGGCGGAGCTGCCCATGGCCGGGCCGGGTGCCTCCCTTGCCAGCTCCAGCCCAGCAGTCAGCAAGGCCTTGCATCCAGTGCTGAGACAGCGGCCAGGTGCAACGCCCAGGACAGCTGGGATGGCTGTGGTCCAGGGTTCAGGACCCGCTCCTCCCCTACAGGCAGCACATGTCCTCGACAGCCAAGTGGGCAGCGGGAGGGCCGGCTGGGTCCAAGTGATGAGCCACAGAGACGGGGCAGCTGAGGCTGGGCTGGGATCCTAGTGCAGGCTGGCGGCCTCCCTGCAGCACTGCCAAGACTGCCTGCCCACCCCTGGGTGTCCCTGCACGCAACCGCCCACTGGCCTGGATGAGCTCTCCAGGAGAAGTACCCCAAACTTGCAAAGCAGCCCTTTGCGTCCCCACACATCTGGGCCCCCAAAAGCAGCCCACTATTCTTAGCTCAGCTTGCAGGAAGCAGTTCCTGGCGACCTGGCAGAGTAGAGGCACATCCCGGACCCCCGGAGCCAAATGTCCCCTGCGCACTGTGCACCCCAGCCACTGTGTGCCCCTGGCTGTGGCCTGGCCCACCGTGCGCCCCTGGCTGTGCCCGCCCGACATGTGCCCCGATACCTTCAGTAGCTCTTTCAGCTCCTCCATGGTCTGCTTGTTTGCCACCTCGTCATGCACGGTCTGCCCACAGTTCTTCACCACAGACTCCATGACCTGCAGGGCAGGGTGGGGGATGGACAGCCACGGTCAGTGCAGGCTGTCCTCCAGAGGGCCTCCTGAGGGGCCTACGGAAACCCTGCGCCTCAGCTGAGGGGGAGCGCACCCCACAAGCTCTCCTGGCCCTCTCTTCTCAGTCAGCCACGGAAAGGGGACCCACTACCCCGTCCCTGGCGAGGCAACACGGAGTATGCTCACCTCCAGTGCATACAGTGCCACGTGAGGGTTCTTGTCATTCACTTTCTTCTTGATGGAATTCACGGCATACTTCGCTCTGTGGGAAGCAGCCATCCGGAGAGGGTTGGAAAGGGGGGTGACGGCCCCCAGTCCCACCTGGGGAGACCCCTCCACCTGCCGCCCCACACTCACTGGGTGTCCCCCTGGCGGATCAGGTCACAGATCTGCAGAATGGACTCCCAGTCCGTCTCCAGCAGGAGCTGGCTGGTCGCCTTGTCTGGGGGGACACACAGGGATGCACCTCACTGGGTGCAGGGAGTGGGAACAAGGCCCCCCTGCCCCGGAGTTTCCAGCACCCAACTGCTTTGTGCTGCATGGGAACCAGGGCAGACCAAAGCGGAAGCCGTCCCAGGTGAAGGGATCCTGCCACCCATCTGGGTGCCGGGGACAACACCCTCCCCAGACAGCACCCCGCCACCCCAGTAATCCCCCCAAGCACCCTCCCCGGACAGCACCAGCCACCCCAGCAATCCCCCCAGGCACCCACCCGCATCAGCACCCCGCCACCCCAGGCACCCACCCGGATCAGCACCCCGCCACCCCAGCAATCCCCCCAGGCACCCACCCGCATCAGCACCCCGCCACCCCAGGCACCCACCCGGATCAGCACCAGCCACCCTAGTAATGCCCCCAAGCACCCTCCCCGGACAGCACCAGCCACCCCAGGCACCCACCCGGATCAGCACCAGCCATCCCCGACACCCACCCGGATCAGTACCAGCCACCCCAGCAATGCCCCCAAACACCCTTCCCGGACAGCACCCTCCCACCCGCCCACCTCGCAGGGGCCACCGTTGGGACCCCGGCCTGACATCGGGGGCGGCGCGGGGCATTACCGAGAAGACGCTCGAAGGTGCCGCCGCCGCGCCCCATGGCGACCCCAGCCCGGACCGACGCCGCCGCGGACGCCCCTGCGCTCCCAGCTGGCGCGCCCCTCGACTTCCGCTTCCGCCTCCACTCCCCTCCGACGCGCGCACGCGCACGGTGCCTCCCCGGCCAGGATGGCGGACAGGCGGAACTTGCGCGGGTCTATGCCCTGCGTAAGCCAATGAGCGCTCTGGAGCAGACGCCCATCCAATGAAAACAGGTGGGAGGCGGGCCCTGCAGCGGGGCGCCGAGCTACGGGTTCCGGGTGGGCTCCGGGGGTCCGGGATGTGTCTGCTGCTGGGGGCTCCGGGCGTCGGGAAGACGCTGCTGGTGAAGCGGCTGCAGCATATCCTTGGTGGGGGGCGGGGACCGGAGAGACAGGGAGGGGACGGGAAGGGACGGAGTAGGGACGGGAGGGACTGGGGACATGGGGACTGGAGGGACGGGGTGGGGACTGGAGGGCCTTGGGGACTTGGGGACATGGGGACGGGGTGGGGACTGGAGGGTCTTGGGGACTGGACGGCCTTGGGGACTTGCTCCTGGCCTTTGTGCCTTGACCGCTGCGCACAGCTGAGCTCGCGGGACGGCACGGGTGACGTGGGTGAGCCGCCGCCGACGCAGCCCACGGTGGGTGCCCAGCCCCGGCCTGCCCTGACCCCTGGGTGCGGGCATGGGGCCTCGTGTGCAGTGTGGCTCTCCTCGCAGGTGGGCACGGACCTCACGGACATCATGGTCCAGAGACGCATCACCATCCGCGAGCTGGGGGGCTGCATGGGCCCCATCTGGCCCAGCTACTACGGAGACTGCCGTGCCCTGCTGGTGGGTGCGGACACCCTGGGCTCCCGCCCGGGGCGTGCTTCTCTCCCCCCGGGGTGTCGCTCATGGCCCTGTCCTCCTCCTCAGTTCGTCATGGATGCCTCGAACCCCTCCCAGGTCTCTGCGTCCTGTGTGCAGCTCCTGGGGCTTCTTTCTGCACACCAGCTGGCAGGAGCCTCGGTCTTGATCCTCTTCAACAAAATGTAGGGACCTGGGCGCGTGGGGTGGGATGCTCTTTGCCAGCGCCCCACGGGCGCCGCGGCATGGGGGGTGTGGCCGGTCCTCCTGGGGCGCTACTGTGTCCACAGAGACCTGCCGTGTCACATGGGCCTGGAGGAGATCAAGTCGCTCATCCGGCTTCCGGACATCGTGGCCTGTGCCAAGCAGGACGTGGCCACGGCAGCGGTCAGTGCCCGGGAAGGCACGGGCCTGATGCAGGTGCTGCGCTGGCTGCAGGACACCCACAGAGCTGGCAGCTGAGCCTCATGGGAACAGAGGGGCGTGGCGTGGCCCTAGGTGGTGGGTAAGCCTAGGCACCTGGGGCAGTCCTGTCCTGCCATGGAGCCCATAGGGCTGCCCACCCAGCACCTGTGACACCTGGGCTGTGGGCCCCTGCCTGCATCCCCCCACGAGCACAGGACCCCCTGGCCTGCCTTAGGAAGCTGAGTATAAACAAAGCTTCCAGAAAAAGCCAGCTTCGGCTCATTTGTTCCTTAAGGGTCTGCATCCCCGAGGTGTCCACAGGATGAGCAGGTCCCCATGGTGGGCAAAGGACAAGAGTCCCCTGTAGCCTGTGGTGTCCGCCTCCCCCGCGCCTGTGGCCTGCAGAGCCTCCTCCCTCGTGTCCTGTCATGTCATGGTGGAGCCAGAGTGAGCGGATTATACCCAGACACCCCTGTTGTCACAGACACTTGCGCTGTCGGAGCCCTCGTGGATGGTGGCACACCTGTGGGTCTCGGGTGCCCGTGTGCCGGCCTGGTGGTGCGTGTCCACAGCCTGCAGTCCCCGCCCCAGGGTCAGCTCGGGCTCTGGCAGCACCGCCCTGGCAGGGGCAGGGATGTCACGCTTCTGCCGGCCCCGGCTCCGCTGTGATCATCTGGGGGGAACCAGTGGAGGGAAGAACAGCACCTTCAAGCCAGCAGTTCGGCCCCATTCAGATTCCCACTGTCCACCTGGCTTTGGGGGACCCAGGCCTCCACTTTCCAGGTGAGGTAACAGGTCCTGCCTCACCTCAGACACCAGGCCCCACCTTCTCCAACATGCAGCCTGGTAAAGTCCTCATTGTGACCAGTACAGACAAAACAACAGCAGAGGTGTGACCTTTAATGTGAGCATAGGATGCACCGAGACCCCAGGCACGGTCCTTGAGCCATGTGCCAGCGGTGGCAACAGAGGTGATCTGGCTGGGTTCCACAGCTCGCTCTGCAGAGGGGGCCTCGCGCCCACATCCTGTCCGTGAGCACGCTGCAGCACGGAGACGGTCCCCAAAACACGGCTGTGTGCTGTTCAGACACAGGCGGACGCGGCTGTGCCCAGTTCTGGGCGGTGCCTGTCCTCAGGACGGGGCTGCTGCGGGATGGCCATGCAATCTGGGCTTCCAGGCAATGGCTCTGCTGCCAGCCTTGGGCAGCACAGGGCATTTGCCCTGCTCTTGGGGCTAGGAAGACCCTGGGCCTCACTGTGGCCGTCCTGCTTGGCGAGGCTGGTCAAGGGCTCACAGCCGCCTGCCCCAGGGTGCTGGACTGTCTCCCTCAGGACCAAGCCCCCGAGAAGTGCCCTGGCCCTGCAGGGGTCTCCGTGCCGTACTCGGGTCCCAAGGGCTGTCATTGGGACAGTGTAATGGGGAAAGGACCCCCACATGGTGACAGGTGGGCAGGGTTCACAGCCTCGTGTCCCAGGACACGCTGGACAACGCATGCCTACTGGGGCCACCGCCGCTGCTGCTTCAGCAGCCTGTAGGCCTGCACAGCCCGCGCTCTCTCCTCCCCAATGATGCGCTGCCGGGCCAGTGAGGAATGTGGCGGTGGGCATGGGGCCGGGCTCAGGAGCGTCCTCAGCACCAGCGACTTCTTGCCAGGCTGAGGAAATAGGAAGGCCAAGGTGAGCTGAGCAGGGAGCAAGGATGGCAGAGCCCAGGGAAGGTGTTGCCAGGTAGACGACCCCGCTCCACTTACCTGCTCTCTGCTGCCGCTTCTCCTGGGCTTGGCAGTCAGCTCGGGGGGCTGTAGGACCACCTCACCAAACTGCACCGTGTCTGCAGGCAGTGGAGACAGGCCTGCTGCCATGGCTGGCCCCCAGCACCTGCCCGCCCGGCCCTACCTGTTCCGAAGAGGCGCTGACCTTGGAGCAGCTCCTGCTCCCGCCGGTCTGCAGCCTCGGCCTCCCTGCGCTGCCGGGCCTTATCCAGGCGTCGCTGCCGGAACCTGGGGAGGCGGGAAGAGGTGTCTGCAGGTCCCCCACATGGGCCCTGGCCAGGGGACCACGCTCCAGCAGCAGCTGGCCTCCCGTGGAGCAGCAAGGAGCTGCCAGGGGCCACAGCTGCGGGTCCCACTACACTGGTGACCACGTGGGCACTGGGCATGACGAGCTTGTACATAAATGAGACTGCATACAGGAATCCCGGTCCTCCCAGCTTCCGGTCAGGAAGGGCTGTGTGCTTCACGCCCGCCAGCCGGAGCCAGAGTGACAGGGAGCCCTGCAGTGCCCGGCACCCTGGACCAGGTCGGGCTCCACCCTCAGCTCCCGCTAAGGACAGGCACGGGCGCCTAGGGCCAGCCACTGTTGGTGCCTCTCGGGCAACAGCAGAGTGGGCAGGGGCAGGTTAACCCGCAAGACCACAGCACTCAGCTGCCTCTTGGCCTTTTCTCTATTTTAGGGGCCAGAACCCATGGCACCAGTACCTCATACAGGTACCTCAAGTCTCCCGGCTGTGCCACTTCCCATCCAGTTCCCTGCCTGGGTAAATGGCAGAGGATGGCTCAAAGCTTTGGGCCTCTGCACCCGCGTGGGAGACCTGGAGGAAGCTCCTGGCTCCCGACTGGCTCAGCTCCAGCCGTTGCGGTCACTTGAGGAATGAATCAGTGGACAGAAGATCTTCCTTTGTCCTTCTCTATGTATATCCGTCCTTCCAACAAAAATAAATAAATCTTTAAAAAAAAAATGTGGAGCAGCCGGGACATGAATCAGTCACCCATATGGGAAGCTGGTGTAGCAGGCAGCTTTACCTGCAATGCCACAATATCGGGCCCCTCTTTTTTAATTTTGGGAAAAGCATCAGCCCGGTGGTCCGACCAGCTGCGGTGCCCCAGTCTCAGGGCAGGTGCTGTGCAGCCGAGGGCTGGCGGCTCCCTGGAATGCCCTGGCTGAGGCGCCAGGAAAGCGGTGGCAGGTGGTCTGAGCGCTTGGTCGCTGCCACGCCTGACTTAGGCACGAGGGCTCTGCCTCTCCCTCACCCTGCAAACACACAGACACAACCCCAAGGGAAAGAGCTGCTCACTTGTGAGAACGGGGAAGGGCAGGCATCTCTGGTGGCCACACCACACCAGGACCCAGCTGGACCCCTGCTTGTGACCAGGACGGGCACAGATAGTACAGTTCAAAGCCTGGGGTCTCTGGACCAGGAAGAGGGACGCTGGCAGCCACTGCACGTCCACACACACGGGCAGTGCCTTCTCCTCGCCCCATGTCCTCACAGGCACAGATCAGCCCAGGCAGCCCGGGAGCCTCACCCATGTCGGGGGGGACCGGCCCGAACCCGCTGGCTTTCCGGGGAGAGGCAGCAGGTGTCCCGGGCTGCCCCGCGCCGAATGCTGCCAGGGGGGAGGACGGCGCAGGATCACGGCCCTGCCGGCCACTCACGCCTTCTTCCTCTCCGACTTCTTCCTGGGAGCCGCCTGCACCTCCGGCTGCCGCGTGGCCTGGTTCTTGGTCAGGAACAGCACGTGCTGGGCCTCCTGCTCCATGCGCTGCACGTAGGCCCCATCCGACTCCCGCTTCCTCTGCTTGAACTTGGGGACGGGGATGTCCGGCTCCTCTCCCTTGGCTTCCTTCTCCAGCGTCTTCCTGAAGGCCGCTTGGGCTGAGGATGGAGGGCGCCTGAGCAGATGTGGGGCGCAGCCCACTGCTGCCAGCTGTCGCCAGCCGGCAACCCCAAGGCATGGGAGGCACCCCACCACAGACGGGCTCAGTGAGGGACCAGACGCCTCCACGCTGCTCCCCAGCCGCCACCCCACGCCCCCTCAGCCGTCACCCCACGCCCCCTCAGCCGTCACCCCACGTCCCCTCAGCCGTCACCCCACGTCCCCTCAGCCGCCACCCCACGTCCCCTCAGCCGCCACCCCACATCCCCTCAGCCGCCACCCCACGCCCCCTCAGCCGTCACCCCACGTCCCCTCACTCCTCACCCCACGCCCCCTCAGCTGTCACCCCACGTCCCCTCAGCTGTCACCCCATGTCCCCTCAGCCGTCACCCCACGTCCCCTCACTCCTCACCCCACGTCCCCTCACTCCTCACCCCACGTCCCCTCAGCCGTCACCCCATGTCCCCTCAGCCGTCACCCCATGTCCCCTCAGCCGTCACCCCATGTCCCCTCAGCCGTCACCCCACGTCCCCTCACTCCTCACCCCACGTCCCCTCAGCTGTCACCCCACGTCCCCTCAGCTGTCACCCCACGTCCCCTCAGCCGTCACCCCACGTCCCCTCAGCCGCCACCCCACGTCCCCTCAGCCGTCACCCCACGTCCCCTCAGCCGCCACCCCACGTCCCCTCAGCCGTCACCCCACGTCCCCTCAGCCATCACCCCACGTCCCCTCACTCCTCACCCCGCGTCCCCTCAGCCGTCACCCCACGTCCCCTCACTCCTCACCCCACGTCCCTTTTCTTAACGCTCTGCCCTTTCCCTTTGTTCATCCCCACGTCGCTGTCCACAAAGCAGGACTGCTGTAAACCCGGATCCGTTCTTGGGAGAACATGGGTGCATACACGCAGAACACACTCGCGCGTGGGCCAGGCCGCCCCTCACTCTGGCACGGGGCAGTGTCCCCCAAAGCCGCCGGGCGCCAGGCTGCCGTGACACCCCGGGAGGCCCGGCCTCTTCCCAGCCCACGGCAACTACAGCCAACAAGGACGCGCTAACGGCCGCGCTGCCCGGTCTCTGCCCACCCTCTCTTCTTCTCTTCTTGTTACTCAGCGGGTTCCTCATCTCCTGGCGGCTCCTCATGATCTCCCGGAGGCGGAAGGGGATCTCCTGCTCGTCCCGGCTCTGGGGCCGGCTGTCCACCTTCTTCTTCTCGGCGCTGGCGAGGAGAACACGGGGTGAGGCCCTCGCGCCCGGGGGACGCGGGAGCCCACGCTGTGGGAAGGAGGCGCCCACCTGCGCTTCCCTGGCCGCGGGGCCGCGCTCGGCTTCCCCGGCGGCCGCTTGGAACCCCGACATGCCGCCTTTCCCGCCGCCGCGCGTCCGGCTCCCGCCATCCCCGGACCGGGCAATTCCCGAGCGAAGCCACTTCCGCCCCGCTGTTTGGTTCCGCCCCTTCCGCTTCCTGCGCTTCGCCCAACGCTCATTGGAGTGCCGTGGCTCCATGGCGGGCGTCGATTGGCCGAGGCGGCTGCCGCTCAGGAGCCAGTCACCGACCACCCGCGGGCAATGCCGGTGGTGAGCGTGGCGGCCGCCCGCACGGCAAGTACCCGGTGTCTGCTGCGGGGCGGCGGGGCGGCGGGGCGGCGGGCTCTGTGCAGCACACCGGCCCGCAGCTCAAGGAGCCCTGCTCGTCCGGCGGTGCCTCCGGAACGCGCCTGGCCGCGACCCGCGAGGGCGGGTTAGTGGGCGACGGGTAGGCGTCAGTGCCCGGGGGTAGACGGAGCATAGCAGGCGGCCCTGGAGGCTGGAGGTGCGCGAGTCCGTGGAGGCCTGGGAGACGGGACAGGGGCGCAGCCATCACGCGGGATGGTCTCAGTCAGGAGAGGGACCCTGCATTCTCGCCCTCGGTGCTCACCTGCTGAAGTGCCGCACCCCTGTAGCCAACAGTTCTGTGCTGCACTTGGGGAAGCGGGTTGTTCATGCTCACGCGAGGAAGTGGGTAAGCGGAGCAGAACCCTAGGCCACTTGCCAGGGCCAGGGGGCTAAATGCACCCACAGCCCCCGCCGATAGCCACCCTGTCTACATTCCCTAGGGGGCACGCTGGCTCAGCCGCTGGACCTCCTGCCAGAGGCTTCCTCCGCAGCTTGCCCGCTGGCCAGCCCATGATGGCCACAGGACGCTGGGGACGGACCCTGTGCAGAAAGACGAGCCCGGGAAGCCCAGCGTGGAAGCCCCGGACGCCCTGCCGCCGGACCTGCAGCCCCCCGTGAACTGCTGCATGAGCGGCTGCCCGACCTGCGTGTGGGTGGACTACGCCCAGCGGCTCCTGCAGCACTACGAGGACGGAGGCGCGCGGGCCCTGGCCACCCTGGAGCAACACGTGGCCGACCAGAACCTCAAGGCCTTCCTCAGGCTGGAGATTCAGCTCCGCATGTCCGCGGCTCCCTGCCCCCCAAAAACCTAGGCTTCTGTGGGGATAATGTGCTGCTCTGCCATGCCGCGAGTGCATCGTCTGTGCCACACGGGACCGAGCTGACACTGTCCACACCCGGGGCTCTCAGACTGTGGGGTGACGGGGGGGGGGGGGGGGGGGGGGGGGCTGGTGCCCTGGGAGACCTGCCAGCCGGGACTGGCATTGCTGCACTGCCATCCCACATCAGAGCACCAGCTCTAGTGCCAGCTGCTCCATTAGATGCCTGGAAACGCAGGGAAGGGTGGCTCAGGGGCTCGGGCCCCTGCACCCATGTGGGAAACCCGCTCCTGATTTCAGCCTGGCCCAGCCCTGGCCGTTGTAGCCACTGGGGGAGGGAAGCAGCGTGGAAGAGCTCTCCTCCCGTTCTGTCATGCTGTCTTTCAAATAAACAAATCTTTACAGGACCCAGTCCTGCTATGATCTCCACCAGCGGCCCTGTTGGGGGACTCCACCCTGGCCAGCCACGTGGGAGTGCAGCCCCTCAGCTGGGACAGCTGTGGAGTCGGGGTGGGGGACCCCGCACCCCTCCCCGGCCATCCGCGTGGAGGTGGCAACCCCTCAGCTGGGACAGGAGAGACCAGGAACCTTTCTCAGCAGCTGTTTGCCTTTTTTACTTTTCTTTTTATTTAAAAGGCAAGAGGCAACTTGTACCCACTGGCTCACTGCCTGAAGGCCCACGGCCTCAGGACAGGCCAGGAGCCCCAGGTGGGTCTCCCAGGGGGTGTGGGGACTCACTGAGCCTGAGCCGTGCTGTCACCTGCTGCCTCCTGGGGTGGCACTGGCAGGAAGTGTCCCTGTCATGCACCCTCTCCTGCCACTGATCCGTGGGCTGGGCAGGGCTTTCTTCCCATGGGGCCAGGGGTAGGGCCTGGGACGTTTGTGACAATAGAACTACCATGGGGACACCCCATCTGACCCTGGTCTGCCCTGGTGCATTTCCCATCCTGGTGCCAGTCCAAGTGCCCCCTACGGCCTTCATGTCCAGGTCCCTGCCACCATGCCCAGGAGGCTGCAGGAAGAATCTTGCCACCATGGGAGAGACTCATGGGCTCCTGGCCTGAGGCTGGCACGGCCTCCAGTCCATGGGACATCTGTGTGTGTCTGCCTTTCACATAAATAAAACATCAGTGCCTTGTAAGAGATGGCCTCCCAGGGGTCAGGGACCTGTGGGGAGGGGGACCCAGGGCAGCGGCCAGGGCAGCCTGCTGGGGTGGCTGGTGCTTCAGGAGGGGGAAGCCACCATCCCCCTGGGTGGGTGTCCCTCAGGGCGCTGTCCACACCACAGCCCCTCTGTCTCCCCTTGATCCTCCACGGTGTCCCCTCCCTGGGCGCTCACAATCTCATTAGCAGCATCAGCTACGAAAACCTTAATCCACTTAGCCCGGATAGACCCTGCCGGGGCAGACGCTGCTGGGGCAGGCCCGCAGCCGCCAGCACCCCACTCCCTGGCCCACCCTGACTTGTGGTAAGTACTGCCCCAGCCGCCCAGTCCAGCCAGGGCCCCAACTGTTCCTGGGAGGACCTCCGGCAGATGCCCTCCGTTGGCACCGCTATCTTCGAGGCCGGCTCTGGTCTGTCTGGGAGACTCAGGCCGTGTACCGTGCACAGCAGCCCCGACTCTGGGGGCCATGCGTTGCCATGCAGATAACACAGTTAAGCAGGGAGTGGGTTCTGTGGGGTCATCACAGGGCCCCGCGTCCTCCGGCTTCGAGGCATGGACCACCCTATCCCATGTCCAGCACCCATGGCAAAGCCTGCCTCTCAGGACAGGGCTGCTAACCGTGCTGTCTGCCCAGTGTCAGCCCCAATGCCCACAAGACCTGGGACAGGAAAGGGGAGCCTTGTGGGGTGGGGGTGGGCACAGTCCCTCTGTCTTCACCCATCCCATGCCCGGTCCCGGAGCCCCACAGGCCATAGTGCCAGCCCGGTGCCCAGGAGATTACATATGTCTGATGCTAATAGGTTTAGGGCTGTCCTTGGCCGAGGGCACCAGGGCATCTGGGGAGAGGTGGGGTGGGGCATAACTCCCCAGGGATAGAGGAACACAGCAGTGTACACGGGCAGGCGGGCTGGGGCCTGGGGACACAGCCAGAGCAGGGTGAGCAGAGGCCTCGCAGTGTCAGAAGAGCAGGCTGTGGTGAAGGAAAAAAGGCAGGGGGTGCGGGCTGGGTTCAGATGCAGTGAACACCTGCCTAGGGTTGGGGGATGCAGCCGCCTCCTGGAGGCCATGGGAAGTGGGGTTTGGGTCAGTCGTGGGCCTGGTGCGGGTCTGACGTGCGGGGTGGCAGTGAGGGTGGCGGGAGGGAGCAGGGCCTGACAACTCCCACCCACTCTGCCAGCCTAAGGCGAGCAGCCGCACCCAGTACAGCAGGAGTCGCCGCAGCGCCCCTACCTGCCTCGCCATGAGCCTGGAGCCCCCCAAGGCAGAGATCCGGTCGGCCACCAGGGTGACTGGGGGGCCGGTCACCCCCAGGAAGGGGCCCCCTAAATTTAAGCAGCGGCAAACCAGGCAGTTCAAGAGCAAACCGCCCAAGAAAGGTGTCCAGGGGTAAGCACAGCTGGGGAGCACAGGAGGGGCTTCTCCTTCCTAGCTGAGGCTGCCTAGGGGCTGATGGGGCGGGGACCGGACTGTCACTCCCTCCATGCGCTGGTAGTGGGGCCCCTGGGATAGGTGCCCCCCGCCCCCTCGCAGGCAGGCCCTGTCCCGGACACCAGGGCTTGCCCTCCAGGCAGCTGACTGGGTGCCCCATTACTCACACACACACATACTCGGGCCTGCTGGGTCCTGACCTTCATCTGGCCCTGTCCCTGCTGCCTCTGGACCCATCCCTGCCCCCATCAGGCTCTGTCCCTGTCCCCACTGGCCTCGCCTCGCCCCTGCCCCCACCAGGCCCTGTCCCTGTCCCCACAGGGCCCTGTCCCTGTCCCCACCAGGCCCTGTCCCTGACTGCTCTGTCTTTTCAGGTTTGGAGATGACATCCCTGGGATGGAAGGCCTCGGTACAGGTAGGACAGTCAGGGCCCTGGGATCCCCTGCAGCCTCACCCCACCCCTCGTCCTCAAGCACCTCCACCAGCTCTCATCTCTCCCTGAATCCGGTTCCAGGAGGGTCCCCAGTGTTTCGGAATGGGGGGTTAGGGTGGCCCCTCTGACATGCATCCCCTCCCACAGACATCACGGTCATCTGCCCCTGGGAAGCCTTTAACCACCTGGAGCTGCACGAGCTGGCCCAATACGGAATCATCTAGTGGACACCGCCAGTCCCGCCACCCGCACCAACCCTGTCACCCGCGCCAGCCCCACCACCCGCACCAACCCTGTCACCCACACCAACCCTGTCACCCACACCAACCCTGTCACACGCGCCAGCCCCACCACCCGCACCAACCCTGTCACCCACACCAACCCTGTCACACGTGCCAGCCCCACCCATGTGTCCTGGAGAGGGGCCCCTAGCCCCAATGGCACCAGGATGCAAGGTGGGGCCTCCAGACACCTGTGAACCACTCCTGTCACCTCCCGTGGCCTAGCCAGGGAGATACCAGCCCACCTCGGGTCTGCACGGGGGTAGTCCGGGAGCCTCGTTCCCCACCCAGGACAAGGCAGCCACCTACCCTGGCTGGTCACGTCTCAGAAATAAAATCTGAGTGTCCTGCTCATCCCGGTGTGTGTAGGGAAGGGCTGCCACAGCAGGAGTCCTGGGAGCTGGGCAGTGGGCACTGGGTGTTGGCCAGGCAGGGGGAAGAGCTTTGGTGGGCCCCAGGAGCCTGGCAGGGCAGGCATCCCCATGCATGCCCACTGGGCCCTGTGCTGGCCACCAAGATGGGACTGGTCATGGCTCGCAAATGCCTCTCGCCACCGCAGCGTGGGAGTTGTGATCCCACTTCAGCAGGGGGAAGTCTGAGGTGTCCACTGGGGGCAGACTTGTCCGCCTGCTCTGGGAAGTTCGGGTGGAGTGCGTTCCCTACAGCCCGAGGCCTCACATCAGGCACTGCAGCCGGGCCACACACTCATATCACGTCACTGGCCAGTCAGGTAGCTCTGTGGCCGGCTCCACAAAAAAGAAGAGCAGGAGTCGGACCACCAGAGTCAGAGGAATGTAGACTAGAGGAGCAGGTGGAGCAGCAGGCAGGGGCAGCCCAGGCAGGAGGGGAGAGACCTGGCCCTGGCCCTCACTTGGCTGAGGGGCTGCACGGAGAGGCAGCACTGGCCATGGGCTGGCTCAGGGCAGGGCCAGGGGTTGGGCCCTGGGGGCCGCAGGGGCTGGCTCCACCCTCGCCGCCAGCTTCCCCTTGCGGGTAGTGAGGGCCCAGGCCAGCCGCATGGCCATCAGGAGCTCGGTGCCCTGCACCAGCACCACTGCAATGAGGAAGCTGCCCAGGGCTCGGGCACTGCTCTGCAGCCACTGCCGGAGGGGAGGCCCGCAGCCATGCAGGTACACCACCTTCCGGGCTGCAGCCTCTTCCTGGCGCAATGCCCCGCTGCCACACTGGTTGTTGATAGAGGTACCGCCCTCATGGGGGTCGACACAACAGGAAGCAGGCAGGCTGCAGGCCTGCTCACCCTGGGAGCTGCAGTTGAAGTCCCTGCAAAGCAAAAGGCAGATCTGGGAACATGGCTTAGTGCCTGCTGCTTCCCCCCTGCAAAGCAAAAGGCAGATCTGGGAACATGGCTTAGTGCCTGCTGCTTCCCCCCAGGCTCGCATGTCCAGCACCCTGCCATCTGGCCCCCAGCAGGGCAGGCCTCGGCTCTGCTGGTGAAAGAGGAGACTCCAGGGACTGGGGATAGAGGGGTAGAAGTGAGATTCTGCTCCTTGAGTCACGGAGTTCATTTTGAATGGCAGAACTAAAGTCATATCCTCAGACTGTGGCCAGCCAGCCTACCAAGGGCAGAAAGGAACAAACAGGAGGAGCGAATGGGCCAGCGTGGTGATGCAGGAGTGAACAGGGGCCAGCATGGTTCCTTAGCGGGGCTAGAGGAGTGAACAGGGGCCAGCGTGCTGATGCAGGAGTGAACAGGGGCCAGCGTGGTTCCTTAGCGGAGCTAGAGGAGTGAACAGGGGCCAGCGTGCTGATGCAGGAGTGAACAGGGGCCAGCGTGGTTCCTTAGCGGAGCTAGAGGAGTGAACAGGGGCCAGCGTGGTTCCTTAGTGGGGCTAGAGGAGTGAACAGGGGCCAGCGTGCTGATGCAGGAGTGAACAGGGGCCAGCGTGGTGCCTTAGGCGGGGCTAGAGGAGTGAACAGGGGCCAGCGTGCTGATGCAGGAGTGAACAGGGGCCAGCGTGGTTCCTTAGCAGGTAAAGTTACCACCTATAACACCCGCCGGATGCCATTTCCCATCCAGCTCCCCATTCATGTGCCTGGAAAATATGTTCTGTGTCTCGGCTGAGTGTGTCCTGTCAGTCATGGTCAGTGGCCGTGGATAGACAGGGCAGACCACAGGTTTGTGGTTGTGGACAGCAGGTGGGGCGCACGTCACTGAAGACAGATAACCTTGAGCAGATATCGAATGGTGCCCCGGGTACCCCTGGCAAGGTGTAATCAGACACACCTACCCACACAGCAGAGTTCCTGCAGCAGTGAGAACACATGAGTGAACGTGCAGGCGTGGACCAGAGAGCTCTGTGGGTGTGCACATGTGTGAGCAGAGTGTGTGTGCGTGCAGGCGTGGACCAGAGAGCTCTGTGGGTGTGCACATGTGTGAGCAGAGTGTGTGTGCGTGCAGGCGTGGACCAGAGAGCTCTGTGGGTGTGCACATGTGTGAGCAGAGTGTGTGTGCGTGCAGGCGTGGACCAGAGAGCTCTGTGGGTGTGCACATGTGTGAGCAGAGTGTGCGTGCAGCTGTGGACCAGAGAGCTCTGTGGGTGTGCACATGTGTGAGGGGAGTGTGTGAGCGTGCAGGCGTGGACCAGAGAGCTCTGTGGGTGTGCACATGTGTGAGCAGAGTGTGTGTGCGTGCAGGCGTGGACCAGAGAGCTCTGTGGGTGTGCACATGTGTGAGGGGAGTGTGTGAGCGTGCAGGCGTGGACCAGAGAGCTCTGTGGGTGTGCACATGTGTGAGCAGAGTGTGTGTGCGTGCAGGCGTGGACCGGAGAGCTCTGTGGGTGTGCACATGTGTGAGGGGAGTGTGTGAGCGTGCAGGCGTGGACCAGAGAGCTCTGTGGGTGTGCACATGTGTGAGGCACGTGGGTGCAGCGTGAGTGTGTGTGCAGGATGTGGGCGTGGCCTCACCCTTCCTCCCCCCACGCACTCACCGGTTCTCTTGCCAGTCTTGGTAGGATGCCACCCCACAGCATCGCAGCCCCAGCTGGACTTGGTCAAGCAGGAAGTGCAGGTCTGGTTCATCCTGGTAGTGGGTGATGCCCACCCGCAGGGCAAGCTCCAGGCCGCTCTGCAGAGGACCCCAGAGCGCCAATAGCAGGGCCCCTGCCAGGGCCTCAAGCCCCAGGAAGGCGAAGACACTCCAGAAGAAGCAGCGTAGCAGGCCAGCGTGCTCGCAAAGGGCGCCCAGGCAGCCGGCCAGACTCACAGCACTGACTGCCAGCCCGCTCAGCGCCAGCCCCAGCATGGGATCTGCAGGGAGGGGCCTGCCCAAGTCGCTGCCCAGAGACCCCTTCACGGCCAGGCCCCAGAGCCCCATGGCCAGGGCCAGCAGGGCCAGCAGGGAGAAGAGGAAGTTGGAGAGGAAGAGCAGGTACTTGAGGCAGCTGACCACCACAGGGAGGGGATGCTGGGGCTGGCCTCTGCCCCCAGCAGGGCAGTAGCTGCACCCCGGGGCACCAGCCTTGTCCTCTGGGGAACTGAGACCTGCGTGGCTTGAAGTGGACGTGCTGTCCATGAAGAGGTGTGGCCTTCGGCCTCGTGCAGCATCCTGCGGGTGGGGGAGGGGAGCTGGGCGTCCTCACTGCTGGGAGTGCATGACCCCCGTCCCAGAGGCCGCATGGAGGCAGGCGGCAGGCCCAGCACACTGGAACCTCTGGCCATGGGGCTAGCCACCAGAGCAGTTGCTGCGGGGGGACCTAAGGATGCCTGAGGCACAGCCAGCACGGGAGGGGGGCGGGGGGGGGACAGCTCCAACCCCAGCAAGGCCAGGGGCCCTGGCTCACCTGGGACAGCAGGGGGCTCCTCTCCCCTCCCTCCATCCTCGGCAGGCTCTCAGCAGTGGAAGCTCTTCTGGCCAGGCCTAGCAGCCCTGCACGCAGCGCCTCAGCTCCGTGTGCAGGCTGAGCTACGGCGAGCCCCACCCCAACAGCCAAGCCACAGGCACATCATGTGAGGGTCACATTCTGGGGCTTAGTGGGGCCTCTAGGCACACGTATGCAGTTCTCCCCGGCCTCTGGGTGCTGGCCTTGGCGTGGGCTCTGATGTGGGCCCGGGCTGTTCCAGCTGACCAAAACGCAGGCTCCTTGGGACAGCCGTGAGGCCCCCTGGCAGCCTGAGGACCGCGGCTGTCCTGACTTCCTCAGCCTTTGGAATGGCTGTGTCCTTGTACTCCTCAATGGCCGGGGCTGGGCCCAGCCACAGCCAGGAGCTTCTTCTGGGTCTCAAGGACTCAGTCCTTGCTCCGCTGCTTTTGCACAGCATCATCGGGCAGCTGGATGGCAAGTGGAGCAGCGTTCATACGGAAGGCTGGCACTCCTGGCGGGGACTTAAACCTCCCCTTTCTGCCGCGCTTTCAGAGAGCCAGTCCTTGTGTTAAGATTCGGGGCACGGCAGTAGCAAAAACACATGAGGAAACCTGTCATTTTGAAATGCTCCCCAGCGCAGAGCCCTGACCTGCTCCTTGCAAGCTGGCCCCCAGCCCGGCTCCCTCATCAGTGTCACCACACCTCACGACCCCGTGTTCACCCCATCCGTCGGCGTTTGCGCCAGCGGCTCTCTGTCCAGCCACCTTGCCACCATCACCATACTCCGGGCAACGGGAAGCTGCTCCTGTCTGCTCGCCGGCCCTGGACTTTCCTGCCAAGCATCGTCCTCCATCAGCCAGAAGTGGGCTGTCCGCCTGTTGTCCCTCCACTTCCTCAGGCCCTTAGGGTCCTGTTGCCGTTGCTGCCTGGCCTCCCCTCCCTTTGCTGTCCCAGGACACCCGTCCACAGGTGTCTGGGGCAGCTGACCCCCTGGCAGGGTGGGCTGCTGGCACCTGCCTCCTGCCTGCGCTGTGCCCCCAGCCCTCCCACGGCTAAGGCTCAGGAAGCCCTGGGCTATGGGCTGCAGGGACGGGCAGTCACAGAACTGGACACAGCCTTGTGACCGTGCCTGGTGAGTGGCAGAGGGGTGAGGAGGATAACCTGAAACTGAACCCTGGGGTCAACAACGCAGATTTTATTCCCTTAGGGCTCTGGCAATTCCTACCCCCACCCCGCCTCAGCAGTTCCAGGAGGCCAGGTCAGCCACAGGACCGCCAGCGTCTGCTGTAAGCCATGAATATGACCACGCTCCTTGTGGGCAAGCCTGTGGGGGTTGGTGTCTGGCACAGGGGTTCAGCCAGGGCTTGAGCTCCCGGACCCCAGTCCTGAGTCCCAGGGCCCCCTGCTCTCTCCCGTGGCCTGCACCGCGTGAGAAGCAGGGATGGCTCAGAGATGGCTGTTGCACCTGCTAGGGCCATCTTTGTCACTGCCACTGTCATTCTGCCTTTCAAATAAATACGGTAAAAAAAAAAAGAGGATTTAAGGCAGTGACAGAGGGGTGCTCCTGCGCCAGTGGGACAGGAAAGTTCTTAGAAGAACGGAATTAAAAGGTAATTTGTCATTTACATACGATGATCGTCCCGCACAGCCGAAGCTGCTTGCTCGTCTGCGTGCGCAGCAGGCGGGTGCACGGCGTCTGCGCGCGCCCGCGCAGGGGGCGGGGCTCGGCCCGCGCGCGCCCATGCGGGGGCGGGGCCGGCGTCGCGACCGCGCAGGCGCGCGAGGCCGCCCTGAGGCCGGAACCTGCGTTGCGGGCCGAGCGGCCGGCGGAGCGCGTCGGGCGAGGCACCGGACGTCGGCGTCGGCCGGGCGGGCGGGCGGCGAAGCTGGAGCGGCGGTGGCGGCGGCGGCAGGAGGCCGGGGCCGAGGCCGGGGCTGCGGGGCCGGCGGGGCGGCAGGCGGCGGAGCCGGCGGCGGCCCGGGGCGCGAGCCCGGCGGCAGCGGCGGCCGCCATGGCCGAGAGCATCGTGAGTGCGGCGGCGGCCGGGCGCGGCGGGCCGGGATGAGGCAGCACATTTGCGGCGGCGGGGCCTGGCGGGAGGCGGTGCCGCGCGGCCTCGGTGGCCTGACCGGCCCCGCTCGCCCTCGGCCTGGCCCCCGTCCTGCGCCCGGGGCCGGCGGGGAGGGTCACCCGCCTCGGGAGGGGCTTCGCGCGGCTTGACAAGCGGCTGTTGGCGAAGAGGGGCGCCCGACGTGACGCCCCAAGTCGGAGGGAACTTGGGAAAAGTCCGGCCCTGTGCTTCCCCTCCCCGGGAACCCGGCTTCGTCCGGCGGCCTCTCCTGGACCGGGGTGCCCCGTGAGGGTTAGGGTCCCCGGTGCTCGGGGGGGGGACCCGGCAGGTGGCCGCGGCCCCGGGCCAAGCCGAGTTCCCTTCCAGGTTGAACCCCAGACAGCTGGAACCGGCCCCTTTGCAAAGAACTTCAGGAGTTTGGGGTTTGTTTCTGGCGTGTCCACACTGCCGGTCCTGGTGATCCGGGGACCGGGTCCCTCGAGGGGTCAGGCCGAGCCCGCCTCCTCACCAGGGGGTCAGCTGAGGCCGGGCACCAGCGGGCAGCTTCTGGACAGGTTGTGAGCACCAGGCAGAGCCCTCCCCGGCCCGAGAGGACCCGTGGGGGCAGAGCCTCCCCTGCCCGGTGCAGGTTTCTGGAAAAGGAAGGCTGGGTTAGATGTACATTCTAGATCCATGCGGGAGAGAACATTCCATGGGCTGAAATGCCGTGGGTGTTTCCTGCTACAGCTATTTGTAACTAGTTGGCCGGCAGATACACGGGACGGGTTGATGTGGGCCAGCAGGTGGTCCCAGGAAACAAGGGCGCTGTGAGCTGCCCAGACCACTGCAGCGGTGTCCACTGTCCCAAGCGGACCGCCTGCTCTGCAGGTCAGGGCCTGGCAGCTGCAGCACCCACATTCCCTGTCGGTGGTGCCTGTTTGAGTCCTGACTGCTCCACTTGCATCTGTTGGTTCTCTCTCCAAATGGCCCCTGTGGCCAGAGCTGGGCTGGCCTGCAGCCTGGAGTTAGCTACCCTCTTCCGCCACGCCCACGTGGGTGCAGGGTCCAAGGCCTGGGCCCCAAGCAGGATGGGAAGTGGAGCAGCCGGGACTTGAACAGGTGCCCATATTGGGATGAGCGTGCCCCAGCAGAGGGTTAACTGGCTGTGCCACCTGCTGACTTCTGACTCTGGTGGATGGAGTATATACTGCTTTTTTGGTTTGGTTTTAAAGAAAATTGAAGAGAATCTTTTAGATACTTTAAAAAAAGGTTGAAAATTGAAACTGTTTAAAAAGCAAAAACTTTGAAATGTATTTGAAAAGCAGAGATATATGAGAGAGCTCCTATCTGCCAGTTCCATTCCCAGATGCCAGCGGGGCTAGGGGCTGGAACAGGGGGTCGAGAGCCCCTGGGGTCTCCAGGAGGGGCACAGGGAGCCCTCACCACTTGGTGCCAGGGGCTGCTGGGGTTGGGAGTGGGCCCGTGCCGGGGGCTGCCATCTTTCCCAGTGGATGAACTGTCCCAAAGCAGCTGTGGCTCTCAGGACACCGGGCCACCCAGCCCAGCCCTCCTGCCTGGCAGAGACTGGGGGGTGGGACGGAGGGTGGGGCAGGCTGCGCTGCGTGGCCTCACGGGCTTGTTTCCTCCATGGCAGATAATCCGCGTCCAGTCCCCAGATGGCGTGAGGCGCATCACGGCCACCAAGAGAGAAACAGCTGCCACGTTTCTGAAAAAGGTACGGGCGGTGTGGCTTCCCCGGTGCCGAATCCTCACGGTGCCTTTCTCTGTCTTGTTCGGTGGTCCCTGGGGGTCACCCGGAGCCCAGAGCGCAGTGTGATGTGTCCCGTGGAGGGAGGACTCGAGGGGTCCCGCTGGGGCGCTGTCGCTGCAGCTGCTCGCGGTGGAGCTTGCCGTGTGTTTCTATCATGGTTGAGTTTGTTCCAAGCAGGCATTTGCGCCATTTTTTTATGTTAAATATGCAGGTGTAATTTTCATAAGCCAAGCCAGATCACTTGCCTATGTGTAAGATACCTGTGGCTCAAGGGGTGGGGAACTGTCCACATCCGGTCTGCTCTGCGTAGGGGAGTTGGGGGCTGTGGTCGCCAGTGGGAGGAGTGTGTTGTGGGGTGGGCTGTCGACAGCGTGGGCCCCATGACTGCCATGGCAGGGCTCAGGAGCGGGTCCCCATCGGGCGTAGGAGTCGGAACCGCTGCAGTGGCTGGAGGGGCGAGGTGCCAGGGTCAGCTCAGTGGCCATCAGCTTCCCCTGGGGGGAAGTGTGCTGAGCAGATGCTCAGGGCCCGAGTCGGCGCACACAGACCGCGGACACTGCTCCCAGTTAGCGGTCACTGCGCCTTTCTCACGCTGGCCACTCGTCTTCCTGCTGGCTGAGCGCCCGAATTCGGGCTGCCCAGCACCTGTTCCCATGGCACGCACTTCGCCTGGCTCAGCAGGGCCCAACTACAGCCCGTGCCTGTCACTGAGTGATGGGTGGCAGGCTATGGTCGCATCATTCAGTATTGGGGGCTGGGAGAGATTGGTGAATGAGAGGGCTAAGATATTATATCCTGAAATTTATATTTTATTTTTTAAAGATTTATTTATTTCTCATTGGAAAGGCAAATATACGGAGAGGAAGAGTGACAGAGGATCTCCCATCTGCTGGGTCACTCCCCAAATGACCACAGCAGCTGGAGCTGAGCCGAAGCCAGGAGCCAGATGCCTCCTCCGGGTCTCCCACACGGGTGCATAGTCCCACAGCCTTGGGGTGTCCTTGACTGCTTTCCCGGGCCACAGGCAGGGAGCTGGATGGGAAGTGGAGCAGCCGGGACATGAATGAACACCCACAAGGGATCTCAGTGCTTGCAAGACGGGAACTCCAGCCACTAGGTCACCATGCTGGCCCTGAGATTAATTTAAAATATGTGTGTGTGTGTTTAGATGGGGAAGTTTTTCTTTTTTAAATTTATTTTTATTGCAAATTCAGATATGTAGAGAAGAGGAAATACAGAGAGGAAGATTTTCCGTTTGATGATTCACTCCCCAACTGGCCACAACGGCTGGAACTGTACCAATCCAAGGCCAGGAGCCAGGAGCCTCCTCCAGGTCTCCCATGCGGGTGCAGGGTCCCAAGGCTTTGGGCCGTCCTCGACTGCTTTCCCAGGCCACGGGCAGGGAGCTGGATAGGAAGGGGAGCAGCCAGCATTACAACCGGCACCCACATGGGATCCTGGTGTATTCAAAGCAAGGACTTCAGCCATTGGGCCACTGCACCAGGCCCTACAAAAATGTATTTATTTACATTGGAAAGGCAGATTTATAGAGATGACAGAAAGGTCTTCCATCCACTGGTTCACTCCCCAAATGGCCGCAACAGCCAGAACTGAGCTGATTTGGAGTCAGGAACTTCTTCCGGGTCTCCCACACAGGTGCAGGGTTCCAAGGCTTTGGGCCGTCCTCGACTGCTTTCCCAGTCCACAGGCAGGGAGCTGGATGGGAAGTGGAGCTGCCGGGATTAGAACTGGCGTCCATATGGGATCCTGGTGCGTTCGAGGCAAGGATTTTAGCTGCTAAGCCACGGTGCCGCATCCTACATTTCATTTTAAAACAAAAGGTTTACTTATTCATCTGAAGGCAGAGTGAGAGAGGAGACCTTCCCTTGAGCATTTGCTCTCCACATGCCTGCGCGGCCAAGTCACCGCAGTGGCTGTGGCTCCCCCTGGGATGGCCTGTACCAAGTACTTGGGCCCTCGTTTGTGCCCCCAGGGGCCTTGGCCGGAAGTGGCATGCAGGCCTCCAGTGAGGGCTCTATCGCTACACTATCTCGCCGGACCCTTGTTTAATTTACAAAGTTTAGTTGAAGAGTGAGAAAATCAAAGACAAGTGTCGGCCTTGGTCAGGGAAAGGAAAGGTGGGGGCTGTCTGTGGGCCGAGTCCCTCCTGCCGGCAGCTGCTGAGTGCTCACTGAGTGCTTGGATGATTCTTGGTCCATGTCCTTGGCTCAGCAGCGTGTTATCACGCATTCCTGGGAGTGTCTAGAGCGTGCACACAGCCAGCTGCTGGTACAGGCCCGGCAGTGGGGAGCAGCAGCCAGGACTCGAACCTGCACTCTGATGGGGGGTGCTGCTGCACAGAACACCAGCCCCTAAGGGTTTGGTTTAAAGTTAAACTCATTCTGAAAGTTATAGTTGCAGAGTGGGGCAACAGAGAGAGAGAGGCTCCATGTGCTGGGTCACTCCCCAGGTGACTATAGCACCGGGCACTGAGCCAGGCTGAAGCCAGGAGCCAGGAGCTCATCCTGGCCACCCTCAGTCCAGAGGGTAATGGGGCCCAAGCACTTGGGCCGGCTTTGCTGCTTTCCCAGGTCATAGCAGGGAGCTGGGTCAGAAGTGGAGCGGCCGGGACAGGAGTTGCTGCTGCTTTGGGATGCTGGCCTCGCAAGTGGTGGTGTCACCTGCCTCAGTGCAGGGTTCAGGACCGATCGACCTTCCTTCCTTCCTTCCTTCCTCCCTTATTTATTTCGTTATTTACTTTTATTGGAAAGTCAGGAATATGTAGAGGAGGAGAGACAGGAAGATCTTCTGTTCACTGATTCACTCCCCAAGGGGCCGCAACAGCCAGAGCTGAGCCGATCCAAAGCCAGGAGCCTCCTCCAGGTCTCCCACACGGGTGCAGGGTCCCAAGCAGGGAGCTGGATGGGAAGCAGGGCCGCCGGGACACAGACGGACATCCATATGGGATCCCGTCGCATTCAAGGTGAGCACACAAGCCTGCGATTTTTCGTGTCCCCCGTGCTTTGTGTGAACTCTGGGCGTCTGCAGGCGAGATGGCGAGTTCCCAGGAGCAGTCACGCAGGCGTGTGAAACGCCTCGTGCATTTCCGCACTCGGGGCTCAGCCCAGGCAGCTGGCTGTGAGCTTAGGGTCCTGGCTCTTCCACTTTATCCAGCTCCCACTGATGACTTGGGAAAGCAGCAGAAGGTCCAGCTGTGTGGCCCCTGTGCCTGTGTGGAGGCCTGCCCTCCTGCCCTGCAACTGTGGGGCTTTCCTTGTGGGGATCACGTGGGCACTGGTCTTCAGAAGTCCTGTTTGCCCCCCTTGGCCTGTGGGTTCTCTGGATTTCTGTCACCTGAAGAATACCTGTTGGTGTGTGTCGTTTGGAGGCGTGTGATCAGCCCTGCTGGGGATGGGCTGTCTTGCCCGCACTGTCAGGAAGGTGCACCTGTCTGCCTTTGCTGTCGGAGGTCCCCCCCCCCGCAGACGCTGCCCCCTGTGTCACGTCGGAGGGTCTCCCCCCTGCAGACGCTGCCCCCTGTGTCACATTGGAGGGTCTCCCTGCTGCAGACGCTGCCCCCTGTGTCACGTTGGAGGGTCTTCCCACTGTAGACGCTGCCCCCTGCCTGCGTCATCTCCACCTTTGGGTCCCCAGGGCCATGAGGCTCCTGTGTATGCCCTGGGTGTCTTTATGTTTACTCTGTGGGTTTGTTGGACTTTTTTTGTGAAGATTTATTTATTTGAAAGAGAAAGAATCTTCCATCTGCTGGTTCCCTCCACTCCTGGCGCACATATCAAATGGCCATGATGGCTGGAGCTGGGACCTGGCATCCCATTGCTGCCTCCTGTGGAGCTGGGACCTGGCACCCCATTGCTGCCTCCTGTGGAGCTGGGACCGGGAACCCATTACTGCCTCCTGTGGAGGTGGCAGTGGCCTGTGCTTGGGCCGTCTTCTGCTCCCAGGCACATGAGCAGTGAGCTGGAGTGGGAGCAGCAGCCAGGACTGTCGCTGGTACTCATGCTGACTGCTGGCCTGACGGGGTGTGCTACAGCTCTGGGTTCGGATCGCTGTCTGCTGGTTTATTTCCAAAATGCTGCAGCTAGCCTGGCATCAGGGACTCCAGACAGGTTTCCCATGGGTGCTCTTGGCTGCCCTCCCGTGCCTCCTTGCCTGGCATATTAGGAGGTCACTGGCTGAGCGGTGGGGCAGCCGGGACGCAAACTGGCGTTCTGCTGCTGGTGTGCAGGTGACCGCTCCCCGTCGCCTGCCAGTGGCCTGTGTCCTCGCCCTGTGTGCCCACTGGCTGGTGCTGCCTCTGCATTCCATGCTGATTCTTCGGGCTCATTACAGGTTGCAAAGGAGTTTGGCTTCCAGAATAACGGCTTCTCAGTGTACATCAACAGAAACAAGACTGGAGAGATCACCGCGTCTCCGAACAAGTCGCTCAGCTTGCTGCGGATCAAGTAAGTGTGCGGTGGAGGAGCCGGGCAGCCTGCTCCCATAGGCCGGCCCTCTGGATGGCCGCTCCTGGCCTCAGCTGACGGGGATGCTGGCCATGCGGAAGCTGGGAAGTGTGTTGCTGACGCTCAGCTGGTTGTCTGCAGGCAGTGGCCTTGAGCACGACCACAGGCAAGTCTGTCCTGTTGGCTGGTGGCGTGCCAGGGCCCGTGGTCCACCTCAGTGCCTACCACCTTGGGTCCTGCCACGCCGCCTGGCTGTCTGCTGCCGTGAGGGCAGTGTGCGAGAGGCCGTGACGGGCCGTGTGGGATGCAGAGTGGAAGTTGTTCCCTCAGACGGTGTGACACCTGCTGGCCTGTGCCTTTGCACTGGTGGCAGAACGCTGAGTGTGAGGCTGTGGGCTGGGGCGTCTGCCTCGCCGTGCCACACGCTTGGCTTCCCGTCAGAAGTGGCTGCGCAGTGGGCTCGCTCTGAACCCTGGCAGTTGGCAGAGCTCCGGGCAAGCTAGGAATTGGGGTGCTCGCCACTCTCCCTGGTTCTTCCTCGGGCTCGCAGAGGCCATTGTTGCTGCAGAGTGCGTGTTAGGACTCCTGGTCCTCAAGGCTGTGGGCCCGGGTAGCGCAGCACCCAGAGGTGAGCCCTGGCGACAGGAGCCAGGCTCCATGTCGCTGTGGCCAGGCTGGCCGCTGACCCTCTGCGGAACGCCCCTGGTTGTTTCTGACGGCCTCACTCCGTCCCCGCTTCTCTTCATTCCTTTTCTCACCTACTGTTCCACACATATGTCTGTTTCGCAGTGTCCGGTCCAGGGTCTGTGTCCTTGGCACTGCGATCGCACATTCTGCCTGCTTAGGTCTGCCGTGTGTCCGGCCTGGCTTTGGGAACCCGCAGTGGCCGGCCCTGGACGCTGTGCATTTCCGGGGTGACCACAGGGGTGCCCTACAGCCGCGGCTTCCTTGTAGGTGAAGCGGTTCCTGTTGTCCATGGCGGCCTGGGGCCCGGCCTGAGCCGGGCAGGAGCTGCACCCCTGGCCATGGCTTTGGCCTGTGCTGTTCTGATTGACCCCTCTGGGTTCTGAGTCACGTCTAGGGGGAACAGTGTGGTTCCGGTCCGTGCTGGAGGGGCTCTAGGGAAGTCGGCCCCGCTGGGTGTCTGTGTGGCAGGGCCCTCCAGCTGCCCAACAGGGTGACGGCCACGTGGACACTTGCTGCTGTCATCGTGGGGCAGAGCAGATGAGAATTGTCCCACTGCTTGTTGAGCTGCCATGGGGGGTGTCATGTACGTGCAAGGGGCGGTGGCCTAGCAGTGACCTTGGGTGGTCGGAGGGGGGCTGTGGGCTGAGAACCCCATGTTGTAAGGGAGTAATCCCTCTGGTGTCTGCACAGGGGTGTGTCAGAGAGAGAAGGAGAGAGGAGATGTGCTGTTGGGAGGCAGGGCTGATGAGGACTGAGGAGCTGGCACGGAGGGCACGGAGGGCAGTGGCGGCTCCAGGGTCAGTGGGAAGCAGTGCTCACGAGCGCCGACGCTGTCGTCTGCACAGGCACGGCGACTTGCTGTTCCTGTTCCCCTCGAGCCTGGCGGGACCCTCGTCGGAGATGGAGACGTCCACTGCTGCGCCAGGCCCGAAGGCCCCGGGGGCCGCCCAGGTGGTGGAGGACGAGATCGACCAGTACCTCAGCAGACAGGACGGGAAGATCTACCGGAGCCGGGACCCGCAGCTGTGAGTACCCGCCTGCTGCCCGCACGGCGTGTGGACGGGCAGGTGTGTGCTCCACGTCCCCGGGGACCGGGATGCCTGGCTGGTCCAGGTCCTTGCTCCAGGGCAGTGAGGAGCTGGTGTGATGCGGCCACATGTTCCCCACCTGTGAATGGCTCACGCTTTCCACCCAGAGGTCTGCGAAATTCTTTTTAGCGTTTCTGTTCCTCCCTGGGTCCTGGTCCTGGGGCAACCATGTACATGTGTTTATACATACATCCCAGCTGTGTAAGTGAGAGGCGTTGAAGAGGTGTCTTCTACCCTAAGTGACCAGGGCCAGGAACCCCATGCTGTCCCTCACATGGGTACTGGGGACCCCAAGTGTTGGCTGCCTCCCAGGCACAGTAGCAGGGTGTTGGATGGGAAGGGAGGGGGTCTCCATCCCAGGCATACCAAGTGAAGGCTAACCTGTTACTGGGTGTGCTGCAGTGTCTGCCCCCAAAAATTGCTTTTGGAAAAAAAAATATATATATCGTTTGTTTCATAAGTACAGTGACAGAGACAGACAAGTCTTTTGTCCATTGTTCACATCCAAAACAGCTGCAGTGGTGACCAGAACTGGACCAGGAACTTGTTCCAGGTCTCCCCCATGGGTGCAGCCACTTAAACACTTGGGCCATCCTCTGCTGCCCCACCTCCCCGGCGCGTTAGCAGGGATGTGGGTGGGAAGTGGAGCAGCTGGCCCTTGGGCCTGTGCCAGCACGGAGTACCAGCATACGGAGTACCAGCACACGGAGTACCAGCACGGCAGGTGCGGTCTGATGCGCAATGCTGACTATCTGTTGGTCCCTTGCAGTCCTTTTTTCTTTTTCTTTTTTTTAAGATTTATTTATTTATGGAAAGTCAGATATACAGAGAGGAGGAGAGACAGAGAGGAAGATCTTCTGCCTGATGATTCACTCCCCAAGTGAGCGCAACGGCTGATGCTATGCCGATCCGAAGCCAGGATCCAGGAACCTCTTCCAGGTCTCCCCCATGTGTGCAGGGTCCCAAAGCTTTGAGCCATCCTTGACTGCTTTCCCAGGCCACAGGCAGGGAGCTGGATGGGAAGTGGAGCTGTTGGGATTAGAACTGGCGCCCATATGGGATCCTGGGGTGTTCAAGGCGAGGACTTTAGCCGCTAGGCCACGCTGTTGGGCCCTTTTTTTCATTTTATTATTATTTTTTTTTTTTTGACAATCTTTACATAGTTAATTAGGGTAACAAGGTTTAAGGGCTACTGGAAAGTGGGTAAGACTATTATTTCCATATTGTTTCCTTCATGTATCTGAGGTAAAGGGGGGTATTGAGAGAGAAGCCCTACCCAGTCTCCCACCCACCCCAGGTCCCTGATGTGGGGCATGCTCTGTGAGACTTGCTCAAGTGGTTTTGAAAGTTCACAGTTATGAATCGCTGCCAATCTCGCCACTCCAAGCATGATGAGGTCATTGAAGAATCCATTGATTGACATAGTCCATCATAGAGTCTCCGTTTGCCCGTTTGCCAACATGTAGCTGAGGTGGTTGACTGACTTGTTCTGTCTTTTCTTGGTTAGGGTTCTGTGTCCACCATTTCGATTGGGGAGATCCCCAAAGAAACTTTGTCTAAGGTGTTCCCAGACCAGATTCTTGTGTGCATTAGCAAGCACAGGGTCCGGTACAGTCCATCGCCCCAATCAGCCGGTGGTCCTTGCAGTCCTTTCAAAGAAACCAGCTCAGGAGGTTGAGTTTTGCACGCAGTGATGGGAAGCAGTTCTGACAATGTTTGACTAAGAAAAAGATTTATTATTTATTTTTATTGGAAAGGCAGATTGACAGAGACGAAAAGACAATGATCTTCTGTCAGCTGATTCACTCCCCAAATGGCCACAATGGCTAGAGCTGTGCTGATCCGAAGCCAGGAGCCAGGAATTTCCTCCAGGTCTCCCATACAGGCGCAGGGTCCCAAGGCTTTGGGCCGTCCTCGACTGCTTTCCTAGGCCACAAGCAGGGAGTTGGATGGGAAGTGGGGCTGCCAGGGTACAAACTGGCACCCATATGGGATGTAGGTGCATACAAGGTGAGGATTTAGCCACCAAGCTGGGCCCTTTTTTTTTTTTTTAAGTTTTATTTATTTTTATTGGAGAAGCAGATTTACAGAGAGGAGAGAGAGAGAGAGAGATCTGTGCACTGGTTCCCTCCCCGCAATGGCCTGAGTTGAGCCAGTTTGGAGCTGTCTCCTGTGTCCTCCAGGCAGGAGCAGTCCTGCGGTGTGCCTGTGGGTGTGCGACCTGTCTGCATGCGGGACTGTGGTCCCGCGGCTGACTGTGTGAGTGGGCGGCTCTCCCAGCTGCCCCGCTGTGTTCTGTGCCTGAAGATGCTTGACACAAAAGGGCCAGTGTCCTTTGCGGTTTCTCCATGTGCCACCCTGGAGTGTGTTTCACGCTCAAGCGTGCGTTGATGTTCTCCTCATGCTGGCTTTCTTACACACGTAGCAGTTTTTAAGTTGGCATTAAGCCTGCAGACCGTCTGCTGTTGGTATTATGGTTGGTGTTTTGTGATGCCCTGAGTAAGTGCTGTGCGCATGCCTGCTGCCACGAGAGGCCCGGCCCTCGTCAGTGTCCTCCTGACCATGCCTTTCTCTCGCCCGCCCTCAGATGCCGCCACGGCCCCTTGGGGAAGTGTGTTCACTGCGTCCCCCTGGAGGTGAGTCGACACGTGGGCCCTGGGTGGTGCCGTGGGCTGCTGCTAGGGACGGAGCTGTGTCCGCGCACTGAGTGCACACTGAGTACCGGGGTCAAAGGAGTGTACCTGTTCAATACCCAGTGGTACCAGCTGCCCTTGAGCCAGGGTCTCCTTCTCAGTGGGCCGTGAGAGGCCGAGACCTGGGCAGTGGAGGGGCTGCACACGGGCTCGCCCCGCCGCCTCCCGCTGGTCCCCCCAGGCTTCACCTGCTTCGCCTTGTGACTTTGGGATGTAGAAGATTTCCCAGGAACTGAGCTGCCTTTTGTGCTTAGTAGCATTTCCTTGAATCTTGAAGAGGTGGCCAGTGCACCAAGATCTGACCCAACCTCAACCAGCAGGCTCAGCAGCTGTGTCCCCGCAGTGTCCCCTGTGCCCGGCCTCGGGGCTCCTCGCAGTGTCCCCTGTGCCCGGCTTTCGGGCTCCCTGCAGTGTCCCCTGTGCCCGGCCTCGGGTCTCCCCGCAGTGTCCCCTGTGCCCGGCCTCGGGGCTCCCTGCAGTGTCCCCCGTGCCCGGCCTTCGGGCTCCCCGCAGTGTCCCCCGTGCCCGGCCTCGGGGCTCCCCGCAGTGTCCCCCGTGCCCGGCCTCGGGGCTCCCTGCAGTGTCCCCCGTGCCCGGCCTCGGGGCTCCCCGCAGTGTCCCCCGTGCCCGGCCTCGGGTCTCCCCGCAGTGTCCCCCGTGCCCGGCCTCGGGGCTCCCCGCAGTGTCCCCTGTGCCCGGCCTCGGGGCTCCCCGCAGTGTCCCCCGTGCCCGGCCTCGGGGCTCCCCGCAGTGTCCCCCTGCCGCTGGCTGATGCGGGTGTGTGCTGCAGCCTTTTGACGAGGACTACCTGAACCACCTGGAGCCCCCCGTGAAGCACATGTCCTTCCACGCCTACATCCGGAAGCTGACTGGGGGCGCCGACAAGTAAGCAGCCTGCGGGGTGGCTGGGACCCAGGGTGTGTGCATGAGGAGCGGCCTCTGGCCAGCTGTGGAGAGCGGGGCCTCGGGGCACGTGCCAGCCCTGCTGAGGACACCTCCCTACACAAGGTGGCTCCAAGGAGGGCACGGAGCTCGGGACTGGAGCCGTGCAGCAGGGGTATGCGCAATTCATCTGAACTGCTTGTGCTCCTGCTCGGGCACAGCTTGGCAAAGCCAGGAGGAAAGCAAAAGTGGGATTGTTGGGTGGGTTGTAAGAGTTCAAGGTAAATCTCGAAATGATTTTTATTTACCATCCAGTTGGACAGCCAGCTCTTCCCCTGAACAAGTGCCATGGATAAGTGGGGTTTCATAGTACGTCTCTATCAGAGAATCAGAAGCCACGTGACAGTGAGCAAGTACAAGATTACATGATTAGGGGCTGACAGTGACACCAAACAGAACGCATGCGACAGGCAGGGGGTCCTGACATGTCACTGCAATGCAGACAGCAGTAAAACAGCCTTCCTCAAAGGCAGCCGTCTTTCCCGTAAATCTCAAAATTCCAAGCTTGCCCCATCTCCTGCCTGCCTCCTGGTCGCAGGAGCTTTGCTCAAAACAGGATGCAGGTGTCTGGAGGTTCCAGACTTCCAGGAGTAGTCACCTGTACGGTCAACCCTCTCGGTGGATTTGCGAGTGAGAAGCCCGAGGCCGATGGCCTCATCGCACGCCCAGGGCCAGGGCGCCTCGGCCTCGCTGGGCTTGAGCGGACAGCCTGAGGGCAGAGGGATGCACACTGCGTGGACTCTGCTCTTGGCAGAGTGCGGCTGGTGGGCTACGATGGACACCCCGGCGGGTCCTGAAGCTCCGAACGTGATTCCTCGTGAGGCAGTCGTGGGGGTCTCGTGCAAGTCAGTCCCGGGCGATAAGGAAGGTGCCCCGTGGTCCTGAGCGTCAGGGCCCGTGGGACAGCAGCTGGGTCGCTGCGCAGGCTGGGCTGTGTTGAAGTGACAGATGCCACCTGCACACTTCCAGCACCGCTGCCCACCACGTGCCCGGTGTGGCTCCGGCGGTGTTGGCCGAGCATGGCCGCGGGTCCTCCGCCATGACTTCTCACCCGTTGCTGTTCTGTGCAGGGGAAAGTTTGTCGCCCTGGAGAACATCAGCTGCAAAATTAAATCAGGCTGTGAGGGGCACCTGCCGTGGCCCAATGGCATCTGTACCAAGTGCCAGCCAAGTGCCATCACGCTCAACAGACAGGTGAGAGGCCCGGGTCCCTCCAGAGGCTTGGGCGTTTCCAGGCAAGTCCCTCCCTGAGGGGCAGCTGCTGCCAGCAGTGTGTGTAGTGGATGCGTCCCCTGTCCTTCCGTGTGCAAATAGCTCTCACGGGCCCTTGGCTTCTGCACTGAGGTTGTGTGTGACTCGCCAGCCCAGGCAGTTCCATTTGTGGACTCCGACCGAGCACAGTCCCGCAGCCTGCCCCATGTCCATGTCCTCAGACTCCTGTGTCTGGCGGCTTGTTCTGGAGACCGGCCTCTTATTCCCCGAAAATTGCTGAGGGCAGGCATGTGTGGGTGAAAGCCGGGTCAAGTCCAGCTCTGCTTCCTCTGCTGGGCCCCTCCCACCTTGGGGTCCTGGCTTGGGCCTGATGGGCTGGCGCAGGCGGGTGGGGGGACACACTGCTGGGGAGTCTCTGACTCTGCCTTTTTCAAAAGAAGTGCTTTAACAAAGGAGATTCATTCATTTCAAAAGTTACAGAGAGAGAAAGAGGCCTTAAATTTGTGCTTTAGTCCCCTCGTGGCCTCAAAGGCCAGGACTGGGCCAGGCAGGTACTTCGCCTGGGTCCCTAGAGGGGTGGCAGGGCCCCAGGCACTTGGGCCATCCTGCGTTGCTTTCCCAGGCGCATTAGCAGGGAGCTGGACTGGAGGCGTGGCAGCTGGGGTTTGAGCTGGTGCGCATGCGGGATATGGGAATTGAAAGATGTGTGTTGTAAAGCTGTGTCTCCGAATGCCGTTTTGTAATGGTTTTTATACCTTTTACTCTTCTCACTGGGGTTGTTCTGTAGAGGAACAAACAACTTTGTGGCAAGTTTGTGGGCTCTTTATACATCTTTTTAAAAAATCTTAGACTTGTATTTTATGTATTGAATTTTTAGTTTTATAACTGGAGCCATAGAACAAGTATGAGTGCCACATTCCAGCAGTGTGTGCTGGTCTCCGGGCTGGTCAGGGCCATGCCTGCAGTGCAGCCAAAGTTCAATGAAAATCAGTATTTCATTAAAAAAAAAAAAAAAGGTGTGGCTTTACCTGCTATGCCACAGCACTGGCATCAAAGAATATTGTGTTTTTTTTTTGTTGTTTGTTTTTTAAGATTTATTATTATTGCTATTATTATTATTGGCAAGGCAGATTTACAGAGAGAAGAAGAGACAGAAAGATCTTCTGTCTTCTGGGTCACTCCCCAAGTGGCTGCAGTGACCAGAGCTGAGCTGATCCGATCCAAAGCCAGCAGCTTCCTCCGGGTCTCCCACGTGGGTGCAGGGTCCCAAGGCTTTGGGCCGTCCTCGACTGCTTTCCCAGGCCACATGCAGGGAGCTGGATGGGAAGCGGGGCTGCCAGGACATGAACTGGTGCCCATATGGGATCCTGGCGCATGCAAGGCGAGGACTTTAGCCACTAGGCTACTGTGCCAGGCCTACCTTTTTTGTTTTGTTTGTTGTAAGATTTATTTAATTTTACTGGAAAGTCAGATATATAGAGAAAAAGAGGTACAGAGAGAAAGATCTTCTGTTAACTGGTTCACTCCCCAGGTGGCCACAATGGGGTTAGAGCTGAGTCAATCTGAAGCCAGGAGCCAAGAACTTCTGGGTCTCCCACACAGGCGCAGGGTCCCAAGGCTTTGGGCCGTCCTTGACTGCTTTCCCACAAGCAGGGAGCTGGATGGGAAGTGGGGCAGCCGGGATTAAAACTAGTGCCATATGGGATCCTGGCACTTGAAGGGGAGCTGTCCAAGAAATGCTTTTTTCAAAAAGATAGAAGACTACCTGGTTATTAGACCTGTACATGAAATGACAGTGAGATTAGTGTTTTATGAGTTGTACGTATTTACTCAAAAGGCAGAGAAAGCAGGGAATCTGCATGTGCTGCATGCCCACGCGTCTGGCACGCAGCGGCAGGCCAGCAGCAGGCCTGTAGCCCGGGGCCTTGCTCGGGTGTAGCAGAGGCCAGCCAGTGGGCTGTTAGCCGGGTGTGTGAGCCGAGAGCTGGGACTCGCTGTGGGTCACTCCGAGGCAGGCTGTGGGCTGGGCCATGCACCTGCTCAGGGAGTGTGTGGAACCCTGCTGCCCGCCACTCCGCCGCTGGAGACTGCCAAGCAGCTCGAAGCCCTGGCTGGGTCTGCCCTGGGTTGCATTCTGGCTCCTCCGTTGGCTGGCAGCTCTTCCCTCAGCCCCCTGCCTTGGCTCCACAGAAGTACAGGCACGTGGACAACATCATGTTTGAGAACCACACCGTGGCCGACCGCTTCCTGGACTTCTGGAGGAAGACTGGGAACCAGCATTTTGGGTACCTGTATGGCCGGTACACGGAGCACAAGGACATCCCGCTGGGCATCCGGGCCGAGGTGGCCGCCATCTACGAGCCCCCGCAGGTGGGCCTGGGCACATACTCACAGTCGGGGGTCCCCGCCGAGTCCTGCGGGCGTCCTGGTGCCTGGCTGGTGGCTCCACGCACTCACTGCATGCTTTTCCTAGTCTGCCACCTGTGTCCAGGGTCATTGCCGTCCTGTCCTGTCACACAGTTGCTTCAGCTCTTATAATTCTGTTTCCTGTCTCTGCACCACAGCAGCTGTCTTGGGACAGGGAGGCCCTGGCTGGAGCCCTGCGGAAGCTCTCGGGCACCTTGTCAGAGCTGAGCTGCTGCCGGTGTGACTGGAACCAGCGCTGGAATGGGAGTGGTTGGGGGGGTTGGAGGCCCAGGTGGTGGGCGGCCAGGCCCAGGGAGGGTCCTCTCTGAGTGGTCCCGCAGGCGGTCCCATACATCAATGCCAGGGTCTGTGGACATGGATAAGGTCTTCAAAAGGGCGTGGAAAATATGTAGCAGAAAAAAGGCATAGATGTAAAAATGTGGCATGCCAAAGTGAACTTAGCTTTTGATTTTCCATAGACTTTTGAGATATGTATATTTGTGGTTTTGTTTTAGTAATTATAAAATATTCACATGTTTGATTATGTGGACTGTACTTCAAAAGCAGTGAGCACTCTGAGCTGGACACTGGGTCAGCTAGGGGAGGTTGGCTGCGCGTGACGCCCTCCAGTGGCGGCTCCATGGCCTGACTCACAGCTGGGTCCTGGTGGGGAGTCGGCAGGTGGCTGTGCTGTGTGAGAACCTAGTAAATGTTGAGTTAGACCTCAAGTAAGGGGCTTCTCTGCCCCCTCCACCCTCCACCCCTCACTCCTGTCCCCTCACCCCTCCACCCTCACCCCTCCACCCCTCACCCCTCCACCCCTCACCCCTCCACCCTCACCCCTCCACCCTCACCCCTCCACCCTGCCCCCTTACCCCTCTACCCTGCCCCCTTTCCCCTCCACCCTGCCCCTTACCCCCTCACCCCTCCACCCCTCCCTGGAGTGGAGGCAGTTTTCACTATTTTTTTTCCCCAAGCTTGATTTATCTGAAAGCGAAAGAACGTCTGCTGACTCATTTCTCAGGTACCCAGCACAACAAGCGAGGCTGGGCCAGGCTGAAGCCAGGAGCCAGCAGTTTCATGTGTGCGGGGCCCAGGGGCTTGGGCCACCTGCTGCTTTTCTATTCTAGAAGCTCAGATAGTAATCTTAGTCAGGGGTGACCTTCACTCCCCTACTTCTCTGGCCAGATTTTTGTTTAAGAAGATACTTACTGATGACCTATGAGCTACGTTTAACTGAAGGTGAACTTCGGCCCGCTCTCTGCACTCCAGGAGCTTCATTTCCTGTGGTTGGTCCTCGCTGCGGCGAGCCAGTGAGTCAGTGCAGCCAGTGAGCCCTCAGCCAGGTGCTGTGCCTCTTGGCAGACAGGTTAATGGCTGAATTTTACTTGTTAAGGTATATTGTTTTGATTTATTATTGATGAGAAAGGCAGACTGACGGAATGAGAGCGACCATGTGTTATGTGCAGGCTTAGTCCCTGCATTCCTTCATAGCTGTGGTTGGTTCACAGCACAGCCAGGAGCCATCGACTCCACTGGGGCCGCCCCGCACATGCGCAGGTGCCCAGGTGCCAATGCATGCCCAGTGCAGACTGGAAGGAATGTAGCCATGGCCTGGAGGTGAACCTGGCGCTGGGCATACTAGCTTGTGGCTACTCTGCTGCATCACAGCACCCCGGTACCAGCTCTCGGGGTTTGTTTGCTGGGGGTGTGTGTGCCCCTGCTAGCTGGACATTCTCCCCGCAGGAATGGCTCGCTGGGCTCTGGAGTGAGCTTCCAGGCAGACCTGGCTGCATGAGAGCAGGTCGGGAGGGTGTGGGAAGAAGGGTGGCGGACACCCTTGTTCTCAGCCTTCTCCCTGTCCTTCCTGACAGATTGGTACACAGAACAGCCTGGAGCTTCTCGAAGACCCCAAAGCAGAGGTGGTGGATGAAATTGCTGCCAAACTTGGCCTGAGGAAGGTACTGCGACACCCCTCACCCTGGCTGCGTGCTGGCACAGGCGCCATGGGATTTGAAACCCTGTTGTGTTTATTGGGCAACAGCAGCTTTTATGCTTCTCTGAGTTACGGGGACATGAGAACATTTTCCTGAGCAAAAAATAGTTGTCAGGTTGAGCTAAGTGTTCAGCTCTGCCGGTGGTGTGCCAGTGGCCAGCGTGGGAGGGGCGGAGAGCAGGCGTGGCCCAGCCCCTGGGGCAGCTCCTCCCTGGGCTGCCGGGCCAGGACCGGCTCCTGAGTCAGCGTCTCAGAGCACGCTGCAGGCTGTGTGGGGAGAGCCGGGCCAGGGCCTTCAGGGTACCCCACGGAGGGGGCTGTTTGTGGTCCTCATGCGGCCTGAGATCCCTGGGGTCTCCCCTGCCCTGGACTTGGGGGGAGGTGAGCTGCCGTGGTTAGCGTCTGTTGGGGCTCCCCTGCCTCCCCTGCCTACCTGGCAGTGACAGCCATGGGCTGGCTCGTGAGCTGCGTGAGCCCTTGGCAGAAGCCGGGATGCTGAGAGCCGTTCCTCCTGTTCAGGTTGGCTGGATATTCACAGACCTCGTCTCGGAAGACACCCGCAAGGGCACTGTCCGTTACAGTCGCAACAAGGTGGGTGAGCGGGCCAGGAGCCAGCGCTGCTGCTCTGCTCCGCCCATGGGGCCGGCTGACAGGTGCTTCTCGCACACAGGACACCTACTTCCTGAGTTCAGAGGAGTGCATCACTGCGGGCGACTTCCAGAACAAGCACCCCAACATGTGCCGCCTCTCCCCCGACGGGCACTTTGGATCCAAGTTTGTGACCGCGGTAGCCACAGGTGGGCCTGGCTCCGGCACGGGCGCTGCGTGCTCAGGGCTTTGTTCGCACAGCTATTTATTTTACATTCATGAAGAAGGCAGAACAGGTTTTTTCCTGTCTACTAATGTCCTGAAATAGCAGCTCTGGGCTCACCTGGCTAATCCTCTGCCTGCAAGCACCAGAGTCCTACATGGATGCTGTGTCACCCATCCGGCTCCCTGCTGATAGCCTGGAAATACTTTGTTTTATTGGAAAGACAGATTTATAGAGAGAAGGAGAAAGAGAGAGGTAGATTTTCCATCTGCTGGTTCACTCCTCACGTGGCCACAATAGCTGGAGCTGGGCTGATCTGAAGCCAGGAGCCAAGAGCCTCTCCTGGGTCTCCCATATGGGTGCAGGGCTTTGAGCTGTCCCAAGGCTTTGGGCCGTCCTCGACTGCTTTCCCAGGTCACAAGCAGGGAGCTGGATGGGAAGTGGAGCACCTAGGACATGAACTGGCACCCATATGGGATGCTAGCACTTCAACGTAGAGGATTAGCCTGTTGAGCCATTATTCTGGCTCCTCTTTTTTTTCTCTAATTTATTTTTCATTGCAAACTCAGATATACGGAGAGGAGGAGAGACAGAGAGGAAGATCTTTCATCCAATGATTCGTTCCCTAAGCTGAGCTGATACTAGCCAGGATCCAGGAATTCTTCCAGGTCTCCCACGTGGGTGCAGGGTCCCAAAGCTTTGAGTCATCCTCGACTGCTTTCCCAGGCCTCAGGCAGGGAGCTGGATGGGAAGCAGGGATGCCGGGATTAGAACTGGCGCCCATGCAGGATCCCAGGCACACTCAAGGCGAGGACTTTAGCTGCTTAACCCCAACAGCCAGGGCTGGGCTGGGCCAGAGCCAGCCAGGCTCGATGTCTCTGACGTGGGTGACTGGAATTCAAGTGCTGGGTAGTCCCCGGCTGCCCTCGCAGACACATCTCCTGGAGGTGAGAGCTCCGGCTGCCAGTTACAGGTAGTGGCTTACCCGAGCCTCCGCACCAGCCCCAGTGAGGGGGATTGGGAAGATCCCCAGTTAATATCTTACTTTGGCATACAGTTGTGTAGATATCCAGGCAATTTTCCTCTGAAACTTAGTGTGGACTGTGGGAGAGGCTGTGTCACTTAGTGTGGATTGTGGGAGAGGCTGTGTCATTTAGTGTGGACTGTGGGAGAGGCTGTGTCACTTAGTGTGGATCTGTGCGACAGGCTGTGTCACTTAGTGTGGACTGTGGGACAGGCTGTGACACTCAGTGTCGACTGTGGGAGAGGCTGTGTCACTCAGTGTGGACTGTGGGAGAGGCTGTGACACTCAGTGTGGAGTGTGGGAGAGGCTGTGACACTCAGTGTGGAGTGTGGGAGAGGCTGTGACACTCAGTGTGGACTGTGGGACAGGCTGTGACACTCAGTGTGGACTGTGGGAGAGGCTGTGACACTCAGTGTGGAGTGTGGGAGAGGCTGTGACACTCAGTGTGGAGTGTGGGAGAGGCTGTGACACTCAGTGTGGACTGTGGGAGAGGCTGTGACACTCAGTGTGGACTGTGGGAGAGGCTGTGACACTCAGTGTGGACTGTGGGACAGGCTGTGTCACTTAGTGTGGACTGTGGGAGAGGCTGTGACACTCAGTGTGGAGTGTGGGAGAGGCTGTGACACTCAGTGTGGACTGTGGGACAGGCTGTGACACTCAGTGTGGACTGTGGGAGAGGCTGTGACACTCAGTGTGGAGTGTGGGAGAGGCTGTGACACTCAGTGTGGAGTGTGGGAGAGGCTGTGTCACTCAGTGTGGACTGTGGGAGAGGCTGTGTCACTTAGTGTGGAGTGTGGGAGAGGCTGTGACACTCAGTGTGGAGTGTGGGAGAGGCTGTGACACTCAGTGTGGAGTGTGGGACAGGCTGTGTCACTCAGTGTGGAGTGTGGGAGAGGCTGTGTCACTCAGTGTGGACTGTGGGAGAGGCTGTGACACTCAGTGTGGAGTGTGGGAGAGGCTGTGACACTCAGTGTGGACTGTGGGAGAGGCTGTGACACTCAGTGTGGACTGTGGGAGAGGCTGTGACACTCAGTGTGGAGTGTGGGAGAGGCTGTGACACTCAGTGTGGACTGTGGGAGAGGCTGTGACACTCAGTGTGGACTGTGGGACAGGCTGTGACACTCAGTGTGGACTGTGGGACAGGCTGTGACACTCAGTGTGGAGTGTGGGAGAGGCTGTGACACTCAGTGTGGAGTGTGGGAGAGGCTGTGACACTCAGTGTGGAGTGTGGGAGAGGCTGTGACACTCAGTGTGGACTGTGGGACAGGCTGTGACACTCAGTGTGGAGTGTGGGACAGGCTGTGACACTCAGTGTGGAGTGTGGGACAGGCTGTGACACTCAGTGTGGACTGTGGGACAGGCTGCGTGCTCGGGGCTTTGTTGCCCTGCCTGCAGGTTATGAAGAGGCTCACCTTCTCCTGGCGTGGAGGGCTACACTTGCTCATTCTGGTCCTGATTCCCTGGGGGAACAGGAAGTGCAGGCCGAGACAGCAGCCCTGTGGCCAGGGAATGCAGTGCCCCAGGGCACACCTGTGGGCTCAGGAGGCAAGGCTGAAGTCCTCGCGGCCAGCTGAGTGCTGCCGGAGCTGGAGAGCACTGTGGGGAGGGAGGAGCCGTGGCGTATGGCCTTGTGCTCGAGCAGCAGGCTTCATGAGCTGTGCCAGCACGCCGGGTGTCGGGGCGAGCGTCTCCCTGCAGAGGCCCGAGGTGTGTCAGGACATCGCTGGGACCCCTGGGGACTTCCAAGGCAAGGTACCTGGCCCCATCTGGGTCCCATCCAGGTGAGGTATCCAGCAGGCAACAGGAGTTTCCAGTGCTGTTGCTGTGGTGTAGCAGGTAGAGCTGCCGCCTGCAGTGTCAGCTTCCCATACGGCTGCGGGTCGTGTTCTGGCTGCTCCATTTCCAGCGCGCTCCCTGCTTAGGGCCGAGAGCTCATGCTCCTGGACGAGCAGTGGAAGGTGGCTCCACTCTGCACACGTGGGAGACCTGAAGAAGCTCCTGCTTTGACCTGGCCTGGCCATCTGGGGAGTGAGCCAGCAAATGAGGATCTTTCTGTGTCACCCTCTCTCCCTGTAACTGTTTTTTCAGTAGATTAATAAATCTAAAAAGGGAAAGGAGGGGGGTTTCCCATCATCCGATCATCCTTGCGAACTGGTCCTTGGGAGCTGTGTTGGCCAGCATTAAGTCTTCAGCTTTGTAAGACTTTTGACCCCAAAGTTTTCCTTCTGTAAGCACTTCACTGGTAATATAGAAACAAGTGCAGATCTGCAGGGGCAGAGTGAAGGCAACTTCATACAGGCACACGCACACACACAGGCATGCACGCCTGTGAGGCACGCCTACGCACACTCATACAGGTGCACACACACAGTCACACAGAGGCACACCTACACACTCATACAGGCACACACACACTCACACAGAGGCATGCCTACACACTCACACAGGCACACACACACAGTCACACAGAGGCACACTGACACTCAAGCACACACTTGTGCTCACACACACTCCACCCCGCCCGCCTCTCCCTCTGCGCTCTTGTAGAAGCAGCACGTTAACCACACTATCCTCCAGCGTCACGGCCAGAGAGGAGGCAGCAGGGCCCTGGGTGACCCCAGCTCCAGTCCTGCGTCCTTGCTGCCTGCTCGCTGGGTCTGGTCTGCGGCATCTGCTGCAACCACAGCACTACATCCTGTCCCCATGCAGGACACGGTTCAGGTTTTGTCAGAGAACCTGAAGCAGAAATAGTGAGGATTTTATTATTATTATAATTATTATTATTTTAAGATTTATTTATTTATTTATTGGAAAGTCAGATATACAGAGAGGAGGAGAGTCAGAGAGGAAGATCTTCCGTCCAATGATTCACTCCCCAAGTGAGCTGCAACGGCCGATGCTGCGCCAATCCGAAGCTGGGATCCCAGAACCTCTTCCGGGTCTCCCACGCAGGTGCAGGGTCCCTAAGCTTTGGGCCGTCCTCGACTGCTTTCCCAGGCCACAAGCAGGGAGCTGGATGGCAAGTAGAGCTGCCAGGATTAGAACTGGCGCCCATATGGGATCCCGGCGTGTTCAAGGCGAGGACTTTAGCCGCTAGGCCACGCTGCCAGGCCCAATAGTGAGGATTTTAAAACATTTTAAAACATATTTCCTTATTTGAAAGAGTGTTGGTAAAGAGAGACTTCCCATTGACCAGCTCGCTCCCCAGATGGCGTGTTAGGCGTAGCTGGGCCAAGCTATGACAGCAGCAGGATCCGCCGCGCCACAGGACCCAAGGCCTGGTACTCTGCGGCCTGCCTCCCCGGGCGTGGCTTGGCAGGAAGCGCTGCAGCAGGGGGTGCGCTGCCCTGGGGCTCTGCACCCACTGCACCAGGTGCCCACCTCCCGGGTGTTGGTGTGGAGGCTGGCCGGGTATTGCTGCGCCTGAGGAGCTGTTCGAGCAGGCTGCCTGCTGGCCTGGGCCTGTCCTTGCCCAGCTCAGCTGGTGCTGCTAATTCCCGCTGTTCTAGAATCAAGAAGCCGAGTGCTGAGCAAGCAGGGCGTCCAGGCTGTGGAGCCAGCACGGAGTGTGTGCGCAGTGGGTCCTGCTGATGGAGCCTGCTGCCATGTGCGTGTCCAGGCTGTGGGTGCCAACTAGCCTGCACACTCTTGAGGGAAGTGAAGAAGCATGGGCACTGCCCTGGTGGCTGGGCTTTCCCCATGCAGATTCTCTCTTGCAGGTGGCCCTGACAACCAGGTCCACTTCGAAGGCTACCAGGTGTCCAACCAGTGCATGGCGCTGGTGCGCGATGAGTGCCTGCTGCCCTGCAAGGACGCCCCCGAGCTCGGCTACGCCAAGGAGTCCAGCAGCGAGCAGTACGTGCCTGACGTGTTTTATAAGGTAAAGCATGGCCTGCAGGCGGCTGGGCTGTCACCGGCAGGGGCGCCTCGCTCTGCGGGGTGACGGGGCTGGAGACCATGGCCAGGGACGACCCTGTCACACGGCCACCCACAGCCCTGTAGTGTCTCACATCAGCTGGCCCTCGCCTCCCAGGGCAATGTGGGTCATAGATGTGTCCGACTGCCTGGAGTCAGCTGTCCGTTTCTACTCTGTGTTCTCTCTCAACTTTTTTTCCCTCTCTCTTTTATTTATTTTTTCTAAGATTTAGTTACTTGAAAGGCAAAGCTAAAGATCTTACATCCACTGGTGCACCCTTCAAATACCTGCGTCAGCTGGGGCTGGGCCAGGAGTCCATCCGGGTCTCCCCGTGGGTGCAGGGTCCCCAGCACTGTCCTCCACTGCCTTCCGGGAGCAACGGCAGGGCCAGGGGGCGCAGGAGCTGCCCTGGTCCCGGGAGCAACGGCAGGGCCGGGGGGCGCAGGAGCTGCCCTGGTCCCGGGAGCAACGGCAGGGCCGGGGGGCACAGGAGCTGCCCTGGTCCCTGGAGCAACGGCAGGGCCGGGGGGCGCAGGAGCTGCCCTGGTCCCGGGCAGAGGCTCAGCTCCCGTGCCGTCCAGCTTAGTTTCTGTCCTCTGCAGCAGCTCGTCGGCTGAGCTCGGGTCTCTGGGAGCCCCTCTGGCCATTGGAAGGCAGAACTGCTGGGATGTTTGCATCTACTCTTCTTAGCACCTGTCGTTTCCGGGTCATTTCCTCGGGTGGAATGAGGGGCTGGCATGGTGGTGCGACAGGTTAGCACCCTGAGACAGTCTGGGTCCTGGCTAATGCTTTTCATATCACTCTGCCCCACCTGGCCAGGGCTCCATCCAGGAGCAGCCAGGAGCTCCATCTTGTTCCCCGCTGGATGGCAGGGACCGGGGCGTCCTCAGGGGTGCTGTGAGCGCCTGGGCGGCAGAGCCGACCCTGATACACAAAATGACGTTTTTTTCCTGAAGATGTACTGACTTCCTCGTTGACTCATTCCCCCGTGCTCCCCATGTTGGTCCAGGCCAGAGCTGTAGGGAGCAGGGCGGGAGCCGCCTTGACAGGCAGTGAGGAGGAGAGACACGGAAAGTTCCAGCCACTGCTTCACTCCCCAGATGGCCGGTGCGAAGCCGGGAGCCAGGAGCTTCTTCTGGATCTCCCATGTGGGTGCAGGCATCAAAGGACTTGGGCCACCTTAGCTGCTTTTTCTAGGCCGTCAGCAAGGAGACGATCCGACGTGGAGCAGATCTGACGCTGTGCCCGTGTGGATTCCAGCGCTAGCAGGAGAATTGGCCTGATACACCGCTGTGCTGGCACAGTTGGGCCTTGCTTTTTAATTGGAAAGTCAGATTTACAGAGAGGAGAGATGGAAAGAAAGATCTTCCATCTAATGCTTCAGTCCCCAAATGGCCAAAGGCCAGAGCTGAGCTGATCTGAAGCCAGGAGCTTCTCCTGGGACTCCCACGCGGGTGCAGGGTCCCAGGGCTTTGGGCTGTCCTCACTGCTTTCCCAGGCCACGGGCAGGGAGCTGGATGGGAAGTGGGACAGCTGGGATGCAAACTGGTGTCCATATGGGATCCCAGTGGATTCAAAGCGAGGATTTAGCCACTAGGCTATTGTGCCAGGGACTGGTTTTTCTTTTTTTCTTTTAATATTTTTTATCAGGTTATTTTATTTCCGTATGTTAGTGTAATTTTTTTCTTTTATTGCAAAGTTAGATATACAGAGAGGAAGATCTTCCATGCCCTGATTCACTCCCCAAGCAGCTACAACGGCTGGTGGCTGTGCTAATCTGAAGCCAGGAGCCCAAAGCTTCATCTGGGTCTCCCACATAGGTGCAGGGTCCCAAGGCTTTGGGCCGTCCTTGACTGCTTTCCCAGGCCACAAGCAGGGAGCTGGATGGGAAGTGGGGCCACTGGGATTAGAACCGGTGCCTGTATGGGATCCCGGTGTGTGCAAGACAGGACTGGCCGCTAGACTACTGTGCCAGGCCTTAGTGTGATTTTCCTACACTTAAACTTTCTCCTCCGGGCTGGGCATGGTGGTTCAGCAGCTAAATCCTCTCCTTGCATGTGGCGGGTTCCCATCCAGCTCCCTGCCTGTGGCCTGGGAAAGCAGTCGAGGACGGCCCAAAGCCTTGGGACCCTGCACCCGCGTGGGAGACCCGGAAGAGCTCCTGGCTTCAGATGAACTCAGCTCCAGCTCCTGTGGCCGCTTGGGGAATGAAGCAGTGGATAGATCTGTCTACCCTCCTCTCTGTAAATCTGCCTTTCCAATAATAAAAAAATCAGATAAACCTGCTTTTCTTTTGTGCGACTTGTCTCGCTGTCACTGGCTCCCTGTCCCGTCAGTGAATTCCCATCCCGAGTGGCTGCACCCGAGAGTCGCGCTCCCCGTGAGTCGCGCTGGGGCGTGTTGTGTGGAGGCCCTCGCCCCGGGCGGGCAGGCCTGGTGTCGTGCTGCTCATCCTGTGCCGGAGCAAAGGGCCACCAAGGACCCCCTGTCCCCGCCATGTTACGTGGTCACTGAGGGGCTGTTTGCAAAGTACTGGAAGATGTGGGGTTCAACTTGGGCCTGGGTGAGCACGTGTGGCCCACACCGTTCCAGTGACTGTGACCGGGCCAGGCTGAAGCCCGGAGCTTTGGCAGGGTCACCTGCTGGGTCACGGGCACCCGTGCTCGGGTCGGCCTCCACTGCTCTCCCAGGTCATCCACAGAGAGTTGGACAGGCTGTGACCTAACCCGCTCTGCCACAGGACAGCTCCTCAGAGTCTGAGCAGACACTTTCTGTCGTACTTGTTTGCTTCTGCCGTGCTTGAGGCACCTGAGCTGGACGTCGGCAGAAGGGCCTCTCTCCAACCACAGCCTCATCTAACCTGTCGGGGGGAGCCCTTGTGCTCCCTGAAATGCCCAGCACAGCTCGTGTCTGCTCCGCTGCCCTGGAGGCACTGGGGGTGCGTGGTGTGTGTGATCTGCTGGCAGGGCCCGGGCTGAGGCGCCTGGATTTCCACGCTGGCCATGGGCTGACCAGATGACCTGAGCTTGGGGCGTAGGTCCCCTTCCCCAGGGCCTCACGTTTGCTGATCTTGAGTGGGTGCTGCTCTGTGTCCCTGGGGATGGCACACTCATGGCTCACATTAGGCATCTGAGACCAGTCTGACGGGGACTCTGTGGATGCCCGTCTGCTGGGCTCCCCCACCTGATGGGCTCTGGACTCCCGTTTGCCGGGCTCCCCCACCTGACGGGTTTTGGATCTGTGGGCGCCTGTCTGCTGGCTGCTGAGTGCTGAGTCGTCCTACGGGGCTTTGAGCTTCGCTGCAGCAGGGTGGTGCTAGCCCGTGGGCCAACCTCGCTGTCCTCTGGCACAAAGCCTGTATACCTTGAGCTAAGGACATTGGTCCCAGGCTTCTCTTTGATGTCAAGGCTGCAGCGTCCCTGCTGCCAGGAGAGGTTGTGGGGAGTGGGTAACAAGGCATCTGGACATGATGTCTGCAGGTACAGCATGAAGACTTTCGCCCTGTGAACTCTGCTGGCACTCACGGAAGCAGCAACCTTCAGTGTGAAGGGAGACTGCCTGTGTCCCCAGTGGGAAGGGAGGGGTGACCCCTTTGTCTCAGTTTAACTTGCAGACGGGAACAGCGACCAGTCGAAGGGGAAGGCCCTGTCTGGACGTCCCCAGGAGCCAGAAGCCATGAGCAGGTGCTGACCCAGCTTAGCGAGCCTGGAAGTGAAGGCCAGGTTGCTGGATGTGAGCCATGCGGGCTGCAGCTGGGTCGGGCAGGCCAGCTCGGGGCTGTGCATCTGCAGCAGTGGGGGCGAGGTGTGTCGAGGGCAGGCCGTCGAGGCAGTGCTGTGGACTTCCACAGGAGAGGCCATGAGCAAGGCCTGTGGGCACCTGCTGGGCTCAGGTGTGACTGCCAAAGCTGTCTCTGGCCACCCATGGACAGGGCTGCTCTGGGCCTGCCCTGTGCCCCCTCGGGGATGCAGTTAGCAGTCAGTGGTGGTCTGCAGGCTTGGGGTGAACAATTCAGTTTTGGGGGAAATGCGGCCCCCGCGTGCGGTCTTCTGGGGGAACCTCCATCCCTGTGCACTGACTCCCAGTGCTCTGTGCTCAACGTGTCTGACATAAATCAGATCTAGTTGTCACGTTGTGATTAATGAACACATGCTGGCCACTTTCCCCTGTAATTAAGCTGTGTTACATCGTCTGACAAAGCAGAACAGGCTTTGACTTGCACAGACGGCAGCGGGTGTGTGTGCACGCTAACCTGGGCATCGTGCAGAGATGGCGGCAGGTGGTGTGTGCACGCGTGTGGGTACATGCACACTCACCTGCACGTCTCTTGCGCAGGTCCTGTTCACTGTACACTCTGTAGCATTTATAAATTGGCTCTCAGGGCCTAGTGTTGTGGTGCCGCCTGTGGCCCTGGCATCCACAGCTGCTCCCCGTCAGTGCTCCTGGGGAAGGAGCAGAGGAGGCCCTAGTGCCCGGGCCCCTGCACCCACGAGTAAGGCTTCTGCTCTGCCCTGTCCACGCTCCAGTTGTTGCAGCCGTAGCACAGGCGGGCTCTGCCCCTTGCCTTGCTCTCTCCCTTCACAGCCTGCCAGTGACTGCTGTGAGTGCGTGTAGGGCAGGGGACCTGGGTGCAGCCCGCCCAGCCTCTCAGACTCTGGCTGAGCCACGGGAGGAAGCCCCGGGGAAGTGACGGGTCCTCCTGCAATTTGCTTCCTTTCTCTGTTCTCCAGATGTTTCTGCAGAAGTCGTGGGGGGTGAGAGGCCACCTTCACCCACCACCATTTGCCTTTGATCCTTTCAGGACATCGACAAGTTTGGCAACGAGATCACCCAGCTGGCCCGCCCGCTGCCCGTGGAGTACCTGCTCATTGATGTGAGTGCCTGTGCCCCGAGACGCACACAGGGGGGCCCCGCTCGTTTTGGGGTTAACTGTCTTGCACACATGGTGGGAGTTCATGTTTCCTGCAAGGACCAGCACCCCGGCTCTGCCTGCAGGCCCCGCAGCAGGTATCCGGTCATGTGGGCATTCCACGCCATGGACCACTGGCACTTGGGGTTTCTCAGTGACAGCTGGTGTGGCTTCCTGTGGGGAGCCTCTGGGCTCCTGTCCGCCCCCATCCATCCTGGGAGCGTGAAACCCCCTGCGTGGGCAGCAGCAGCAGCCAGGGCCACTCTGCCTGGCAGAGCTGTTGTGAGGGGCTGGGGCACCACGTCTCCTTGGCTTGTTTGCACACGGGCCAGGCTTGTGATGCCGGCAAGGAGATGCCATCCTTCACCCTCACGTCTGGAGCAAGTCCGTGTGCCAAGCCCACCGAGGCTGTGTTCAGCCGATGGCCTAAGAGCACCCCACAGGCTGGGCTGTAAAGCCTCCATGGTGGAGCTCCTGGGAGTGCCAGGAGGAAAGTAGATGGACGGGGCCTGTGCTGAGCGGGGCAGCAGGACTTCAAGCCAGTTACCCTGGGGCCTTCCTGCCAGCCGCCCCATGGCACTCCATTCCCACAAGAAGTTGGGTTCTTGCCTGGGCCTTGGTAACCTGTGGCTGCCCCCATCAAGATGTCAATTATGTGGGTCCTCACCCAGCAGAAAATGCCTGTCAGCCCTCTGAGGAGGTATCTGGGCTGTCCTGCTCCCGTGCCCTCCCAGGACAGGGGCCCAGGGTATCCTGAGTACCGTGTGTATGGTGCTCTTGGTGGTCGCCCCCATGGCTCCTCCCTATGCCCAGGCTGGGGGTGCCCCCCGCCTCCAGGCACCGTGGACATTGGGCACAGCTCAGCATCTGTTGCTGCTCTGGCACAGGCGCCCCACAGGGACCAGCCTGGCCCCAAAGCTGAAAAGGCTGGGCCATTGCTGCAGGTACCCACCAGGGAGGCTGGGGGGTAAGGGGCTGCTGGGGGCTGCTAGGAGGAATCCTACCTAATCCCTGCTTGTTGCCCCTTCCCGGCTTCTGTTGGTCACATCAGATTTAAGACTCGGAGGTATGTCCAAACCTAGGGCAGGACCCAGCTCTGGCTGCCCTCTGTCTAGTCTTTAGAGTGGCTGTACCCTATGACTGCCCTGTGATGGGCACCCACAGCCCTAGGGAGGCTGCACAGACCTCTGGCTCCCATGGACAGCCTGGACCCATGGACAGCCTAGGACACCGCTCAGCCTTCCCCTCTGTGGTTCTCTGACACTGATGGGGGCTCTCCCTGGCCAAAGGGAGCCACTACAGGGACTCTGGTGATCCCTGTGAGGCCTGTGGTGTGCATGGCGGGTACTTCTGGGGGTGCCTTAAGGTGCCAGGCCTTCTTCTCGGGGTGCTCCTCACTGGGGGCACCAGGCCCTCGTCTCGTGGCGCCAGGCTCTCTGCTCGGGCGCTCCTCACAGCTTTGTGTTTTTTTCTGGCAGATCACAACAACTTTCCCCAAGGATCCAGTTTACACTTTTTCTATTTCACAAAATCCTTTTCCGATTGAAAACCGGGATGTCCTGGGTGAGACGCAGGTAGGCCGCTTGTCCTTGGAGACACTGGAGCGTGGCTGGGTTGTTCTCTCGTGTCTGCAGAGTCCTGTGCTCCGAGACGGCCTGAGCCATTCTCGGGACCAGACCCAGCCTCGCCCCTTCCCTGGCCAGTCTCCAGGGGCATCTTCGTGGCTGCTGACGGACAGGCTGGGGCAGCGCGAGTCCTCAGGCGGGAGGGGTTGACAGTCTGTCCCATGCGGACAGCCGTGGGCTCGGGGGTTACCAAGCATGCAGCCCAAGCCAGTGTGGGCACTGTGCTCCATGCTGCCATTCCCCTGCAGGGGGTGCCGCTGAGGGACCTCTGCCCTGAGGTTTTGTCCAAGGAGGAGAGGGTGGGGGCTCCCCCTTGCTCCTCCCCATGGGTGGGCTCACCTGCAGGGCACCAGGGTTTGGCTGGTCCCCCTCGACGTGTGCTGTGTCACTGCTGGGCGGGCTGGTCATGTCTCTCCAGGGAGGCCTGGTCCTGCTCCTGCACTCTCCCACTTCCCCCGGCCCTCTCCCCAGGACTTCCACAGTCTGGCCACCTACCTGTCCCAGAACACCTCGTCCGTGTTCCTGGACACCATCTCTGACTTCCACCTGCTACTCTTTCTGGTCACCAATGACGTCATGCCCCTGCAGGTGGGTCTGTGCCGAGATGCTCCGCCCGGCTCCGTATGTAGACAGGTGGGGCTGGGATGTCGGCTTGCGGCTCCCTGGTGAGGGTCATCTCCCCTCCTTCGCCAAGGAACTGTCACCCTCTGTGCCGTTGGGGACTCAAAGGTGATAAAGTTTATTGATTTATTTTTATTGGAAAGTCAGATACACAGAGAGAATAAGAGAAAGATTTTCCATCCACTGATTCACCATTGGCCAGAGTTGAGTGAATCCCAAGCCAGGAGCCAGGAGCCTCTTCCGGGTCTCCCAGTTGGGCGCAGGGTCCCAAGGCTCTGGGCCGTCCTCACTGCTTTCCCAGGCCACAGGCAGGGAGCTGGATGGGAAGTGGGGCAGTCAGGATGTGAACCAGCATCCATATGGGATCCTGGTATATGTAAGACAGGACTTTAGCCACTAGGCTAGCACACCAGGCCCAACCCTGTGGCTTCTTGCAGGACAGCATCAGCCTGCTGCTGGAAGCCGTGAGAACCAGGAACGAGGAGCTGGCTCAGACGTGGAAGAAGTCGGAGCAGTGGGCCACCATCGAGCAGCTGTGCAGTGAGTGCCTGACTGCATGTGCTGTGGGCACTGTGGGCGCTTGGCATGGCCCCAGCAAAGGAGAGTCCTTGGAGAGCCTTCTCCGAGCTCTCAGGGTGGCAGCAAAGGGCTGTGCCCCCACACTGGTTCTGCCAAGTGTCTGGAGACCCGGACCCGGGGCTGGTCCCTGCTGCTCTGGCTGCACAGCTAAGGGAGTGCTCACGTCACATGGTTCCGTACCTGACGCAGCCGTGGCACGTCACTGGCAGAGTTGGTGCTGGAGCCACGCGGCTCCATGCTGTGCGTGGAGTCCTCGCAGTGAGCTCAAGGCTGTGGGTTCTGCTCGCATACAAGTGACCACTGCGTGCCTCTTGTCCCCTGCAGGCACGGTCGGTGTGCAGCTTCCGGGTCTGCAGGAGTACGGCGCCGTCGGGGGCTCGGCGCGCGCCACCACAGCAGCCATGTGGGCCTGCCAGCACTGCACCTTCATGAACCCCCCTGGCACCGGCCACTGCGAGATGTGCAGCCTCCCCAGGGCCTAGGGCGAGCCCCACAGGAGTGTGGTGGGGCCCACTGCCCGGGGCTCGGGTCCCCAGAGCTCAGCACAGCTCTTCCCGGAGACAGTGCCCACTGGGGTGTGGCTGAACGCGACCTGCAGCCGCCTCGCAGCTGGCCCGAGGGCCAGGGCTCTGCACCGCCACCTGGATCGGGCACCCAGTGCTGCCCCTGCCCTGCTTTCTTCACCCAGCTCCTGATGCTCTTCCTCCCGTCCCACCCTGCCTTTCCGTCAGACCCCTGGGCTGTCTGTGGCCAGGCTGGCTGACGTGCTGCCACTCCGGTGCCAGGCAGCAGGAACGACGTGTCGGTTATAATAACAGTTTCCGCAATTCCTGCCCAGAAGACTTCTATTTATTTTTTTAGGCTAAAGCTGGCGGGCGCGAACCTGGTGCGTGCTGCTTCCCTGCAGAGCAGCCCGAGGAGGCGGCAGCTCACAGGGCACAGCCGGCTCTGCTCTGAAGTAACCTCAGTGCCTGAGACGCGGACCAAGCCCAGGGCGGGCGGCAGGCACCAGCTCTGGGGAGCGCTGCCCAGACCCGACACTTGCGCCCACGTTTGCTCCCTAGCTGCCCCGGCCTGGTGAGGCCGCTGCTGGCTGCCGAAGGGGCACAGCCGGTGCAGGGCCAGGCTGGCTCCATCGGGCCTCGGCCCCCATGCGCGCTGTGGCACCTGTGCGTCTCTTTGCCTTAACGACCAGCGGGAGAGGCCGGTCCAGCCCTCATGGCGCCGGGCACGGGGGCCGCTGCCAACCCACCTCACGGCTCAGGCAAGGAGGGCAGCTGGTGCCCGGGGCTGTCTCGGTGGCCGGCCAGACTGCAGCCTCCCTCTGTGGTCCCTGAGACCTGGTGGCCACCGTCTCCCCTTGGTCCTGGCGTCCCTGGCTCATGTGCTTTGCCGCTCAGGAGGACCCTTACCTCTGCTTCTCGGCTGGCTTTCTGTGCCCGAAGCCGAGTGGCTCAGCCAGCTGCTCCAGCCCACCCCTCGTCACAGGCCCCTGGGCCGCAGGACGCTCAGCAGGTGACAAAGCACCTGTCGGGTTGGCGTGGCCGCCTCTGGGACGTGGGTGCCTGCGTGTGGCCCCCCTGGGAGTTGGCAGGTGTGTGTCGGGGCTGCTTGCACAGTGACCTCGGCCTTGCAGTGGAACCCAATAAAGGCGCCCGAAGGCCCACGCTGCCCCGTGTGCTGTTTCCTTGCGCCGACCGGGCTCCCCATGTCTGCTGGGGAGGGGCCGTCTGTTCCTCGGCTCCCTGTTTCACTCAGCACCCCACAGAAGGACAGAGCAGATCCGCTGCAGGCACTGCTCTCGGGAGGCCATCGCCTGCCGCCTTTTGGCCGGGTGGCCACCGTCAAGGGATGGACAAGGCCCGTGACCAGGCTGCAGGGGCAGGAGTGCACTGGGTTCTGTCACCTTTGCGGAGGGCATCACTCGGCAGCCTGGTGGGAGGCAGGGGGTCCCTGGAGAAGGGCTCTGTGTGCGCGTGTCCGCCTGCTCTCTTCCTCAGCCGGGGTCGTGCGCGGTGCAGGATGTGGATCCCATCTCCCACGCAGCGGCATCACCAGTGCACATTCGCAGGATCCCAAGGGGGAAGGCGGCCCGCGGACCTGGCCAGCGGCCCAGCAGAGAGCCTGGCTCTGGGCCTCGCCGCGGCCACTCCTCCCGAGGTAGCCAGGCACCTGTCCCCTCCCCGACTGCAGGCGGCTCCGCTCACAGGGCCTGGGGGAGCAGGCGCAGAAGGCGCCCTGTGTGAAGGGAGGGAGCCGGCGGGGGTCCAGCGGGGTCTCAGCGTCCGCTAGGGCCCGGCCGACCCCGCCCATGCCGGGTCCTGCCCCGCCCACTCACGGCTAAACTCCTCCCCCGTCGGGTCCTGCCCCGCCCATTCACGGCTAAACTCCTCCCCCCGTCGGGTCCTGCCCCGCCTATTCACGGCTAAACTCCCCCGTCGGGTCCTGCCTCGCCCACTCCCTGCCGACCCCGCCCATCCACGGCTGGCCCCGCCCATTCACGGCTAAACTCCCTGCCGACCCCGCCCCCCGTCGGGTCCTGCCTCGCCCACTCCCTGCCGACCCCGCCCACGCCGGTTCCCGCCCCGCCCACGCCGCGCCGCTTTACGGCAGAGGCGGCCTGGCGGGCCCCCCGGACGATGGCCGGCCCCGAGCCGCGCGTCCGCTACTTGGCGGCTTTCCGCTGCCCCCTCGGGGGCCTGGCGGCGGGCAAGCCCCGCGTCCTGTGCCACGAGGCGGAGATTTTCGTGTCCACCGGGAGCGAGTTCGTCTACGTATATGACCAGGAAGGCGGGCTGCTGACCGTGAGCGCCGCGGCGGGCCGGGCGGGAAGCGGGTGGCCGGGTGTGCAGCGGGGTCGGGTGGACGGCGGGCAGCGGGGCCGGGCGGGCGGGCGGTGGGCAGCGGGCGGGCAGCGGGCGGGAAGCGGGCCGAGTGCGCAGCGGGAAGCCCACCCCCAGCGCCTGTCCCCCGCAGGTCGTCTTCCAGCTGCCGGCTCGCGTGTGGCACCTGGAGCTCGTGGCGCCGCGCAGGGCGCTGTACGCGCTGTGCGCCCGCGAGGGCGTGTACTGCCTGTCGCTGGAGCGCCCGGGCAGGTGAGCGCGGCCCCACTAGGCCCGGGGACAGCCACCTGCTGCCCCAGGCAGCAAGGCCGCGCTGACCCTCGGCCCTGTGGTCCTCGCAGATCGGGCAGCCAGGACGACCCGGCTGGCGAGCACGGTGGGGATGCTGAGCTCCCCTCCCCGGTCATCCCTGTGGGCCCGGAGGCCTGTGTGCTCCCGGGCGAGAGGCTGCGCGCCTTCGCGGTGCTGGACGAGGTGCTGGTGGCCCTGGAGCAGGGCCCTGCCGGGTGGACGCTGCAAGCCTTCCAGCGCCCCTGCCCGGGGCAGGAGCTGCAGCGGGACGCCTGCATTGGGGAAGTGGTACTGTCACCCTGCACACCCCCAGTCCTTGCTGGGGAGCCCGAGGAGCCCCAGTTCCTGCCGGTGTTGTGTTGGGCGTGCCTGCCAGGCCGTGGGGCCTGTGGGCATCTGGTGTTGGCCGAGGCCCTCTTCGGGCTGCTCTTCGGGGCCGACGCCACCCTCCTCGAGTCCCCCGTGGTCCTCTGCGGCCTCCCTGATGGCCAGCTCTGTGGGGTGGTCCTCAGGGCTCTGGTCACCTCCCGCTCGGCCCCCGGGGACCCGAAGGCCCTGGTCAAGGTCCTCCATCACCTCGAGGAGCCTGTCATCTTCCTGGGGGCCCTGAGGACTGAGGAGCAGGCCCTGGACATCACAGGGGACACACTGGCTCCAGGAGACGCACCTGCTGACTGCCTGGTGGCCCTTGGCCACCACGGTCGAACTCTAGCCATCCGGGCCAGCTGGAATGAGGCAGGGGGCCTGGTGCCTGAGCTGCGGGAGTACTGCCTGCCAGGGCCCGCACTGTGTGCTGCCAGCAGGAGGCAGAGCCGCCTGTACTACAGCACGCCCACTGAGCTCTGCAAGGTGGACCTGACTGGGAACGCCAGTGCCCGCGTGGACCCCGCATGGCCTGAGGGAGGCCTGCCCCCGCTGCTGTGCCCAGCCGGCCTGAGCATCTGCAGCGCTGTGGCACTCTCCGTGTTGCCCACGAGCCCCGGAGGTAGGTGCCAGGGCTTCTCAGGCAGCAGGGGAGCTCATAGGAAGGCCCCATGGCACCAAGGCGCCTTCCTGTGCTCTAGGATTGGGGTCGGAGGAATGGAGGGGTGGAAGCCCCCATCAGGCTGACCTGACCCTGGACCCCAGTTACTCAGGTCTCCTCGGACCCCAGCCTCAGCCCTAAGGTGGCATCTGCTCTCAGATGCCAGGGCTGCCACCTGCTGACTGGGTCTTATGTGTGTCGATCACCAGGTGGCACCAAACTCCTGGGCCTGTCCACCAAGGGCCGCCTGATGGCCTGCAGCCTGGCCCTGGACACCAAGGAGGCTGGCCCAGCCCGAGTGGCCAGGGCGGATATGGGTCGGAGGATAAAGGAACTGCTGTGTGGGATCGGCAGTGTGTCCGAGCGGTGAGCAGCTGGGCCTGCAGTGGAGGGCTCCTTGGGCTGGGATGGGGGCATGGCCTTGACACTCTGCTTCCACCCAGGCAAGGTTCCATGCATCCTGCTGTCTGGGGAACACAGGCGGGAGCTCGGGGTGCGGCTCCCTCCCCACCCCCATCCCACCTGCTCTCTCTAGAGTGTCGTTGTTGAAAAAAGCGCTGGATCAGCGGAACAAAGCCCTGGCTAGCCTGCATGAGGCCATGGATGTGAGCTGTGCCCTGCTCTCGGGCCCCGAGGGTGCCCGGCCCATCTCCTGCACCATCACAACCGGCTGGAGCCGTCTGCACCTACAGGACATGCTGACAGCCACCTGCCAGCTATACAATAGCAGCCACTTCCACCTGGACCAGGGCTGGACCCTGTGCGTGCAGGTGTTCAGTTGCTCCTCAGCCCTGGCCCTGGACTCGGTCAGCTCAGCCATCACCTACACCGTCCCCATTCCCCAGCTTGGCCCCAGCGGGCGGCGAGAGGTGATGCTGCCGCTGGGCCCCAACGAGAGCGGGGAGCTGGACCTGCCAATGACCGTGTCCTGTGCGCTCTTCTATAGCCTGCGGGAGGTTCTGGGTGAGGCCCTGGCCTCAGAGGATGCCCTGGAAGAGCCCTGTCCGGCCGCGGGGCCCCTGGCAGTGCTGCGTGAGCAGGGTGGCGTCTGCCTGCCGCTGAGTAGACACATGGTGGACATGCTGCAGTGTCTGCGCTTCCCCGGCCTGCCTGCCGCCCCCAGCCTGCTCGGCCCGGGCCCTGACCCCGTGGACACCTTCCTGGAGTCCTGCCAGAGGGCTGCCAAGCTGGCCGGCCCTGCTTCCCTGCGTGCCAAGTACCTGCCCCCATCGGTGGCCTCCATCAAGGTGTCAGCCGAACTGCTCAGGACCGCCCTGCAGGCTGGGGGTGTAGGTCAGTGGCGCTATGGCTCGGCTGTGGTTCAGAGCTGGCGGACAGGCCATCCCTCCCCTTGTAGGCCCTGTGGAGCAGCTGGGGGCTCAGGGCCTCCCAGCCCCCGGGACGACCCGCTTGCTTGCCCCAGGTGCCATTACAGCGGCCGTTGGCATTGTTCCTGTGTCAGATGCCACAGACATGGAAGCTGGTCCTAGACAGCACAGCTGCAGCATGGGTGGCAGCGTGGCTCCCGTGGCCGGTGCACTCCAGGCTGCCAGCGGGAGCTGGGGTAGTCTCAGTGGGCGTTCCTTTCAGGTTCATGGGTGGTCCTGACCCTTGGTCTCTGCTGCAGGTGGCTCGTTGAGTTGTGCCACACTGCGGTGGCTGCTGGCTGAGAACCCTGCCGCAGATGCTGTAAGGGCCCAGGCACTGTCCTCGATCCGAGGAGTGGCCCCCGACGGCACAGATGTCCACCTCATCGTCCGTGAGGCAAGCAGGGGCCTGGGAGCTGGGCTTCCTCGAAGTGGACTTTCTGGGCCACGGTGCGGATCTCGGGAGCTACCAGGCTGAGATGCACCGACCCAGCCTGCCCCGGGTGGGGACCCAGAAAACCCTGCCCAGGGCGTTCTGCATCCCATGAGCCACTTCAGCCCTGCCACCCACATACCTTCCTACCCTGGGACCCTGCGGGCGCCGAGGCCTATCCAGGTGATATAAGTGTGCCAAGAGCTGTGCGGAGGCCCCAGCCAGGCTGGATCACCAGGACACCAGCCCTTGCTAAGGCCCCACCCGCTGCTTGGAGGAGACCCCACAAAGGTCGGGGTTCAACCGAGCCCTCTCTCTGCCCTGCAGCAGCCAGGGTGTCATCAAATATTGGCTTATGGGGTCACCAGGTCTCAGGGGCTGCCAGCCTGCGTCCACATACCCCACCCAGCATCACTGTCTGTGCAGGTGGCCCTGACAGACCTGAGCCCAGCGGGGCCCATCGAGGCTGTGGAAATCCAGGTGGAGTGCTCCTCCCTGGCCAGCTTGTGCCGGACCCACCATGCCATCACCGGGCGCATGCAGGTGCATGGCACTGGGGGAGGAGAGGGGTGTGGCCGTGGCTGGGGACTCAAGGGAGGCCAAAGCCATGTTTTCCCCGAGCAGCAGCACCATGATTGCCAGGAACCCAGGCCTCTGCAGCCCTGGGGCTCCCTGCTGGGGGGGCGCCCATAGCACCCAGGCCTCAGAACCCCTTCCTGGGCAAACGTCTCCCTGGAGCTCGGTGAGCCCCCATTACCTGTCACCCCTCCATCATGACTGGCTGTGGCCTGAGGTTCTCGGATGTAAGCCATACCCAGGGACCTGGGCTGTGGTACTCCACACTTACCCTGTCCCAGTCAGGAGGCAGTGCTCGCTGCCGGGCACCATGTGGGCCCCTGGCATGTGAGCTCGGGGTGGCCACGGGAGCCAGCATGCACTGTTCAGGACGGTGGGCTGCTCATCAGCACAGGCCCTGCCCCTCCCCGCAAACCAGGAGTGGGCCTAGAGTTCCAGTGTCTGTTTGTGGGTGTCTAGACTGCATGAGAACTGACAGGTGGGGTGGCCCTGCACCTGACACCTTCTGCAGCCCACAGGGACCCCAGAGGCTCAGTCATGGCCAGGCTACCCCTCAGGTGCCCGGGGGGCGGAGCTGAGCCGGGCTGCCTCTCGGTGGGCACTGGCCGCTCTGCCCCAAGGCAGATGGCTGCGTGAAGCAGTGCAGGCCTCTGTGTGCAGTAGGGACGGTGGTCTAGGCCTTGGCAGCTGGACAAGCTCCCCAGGAGCCAAGTGTGGTGGGGTCCCCAGATAGAACTCAGGGCCAGGCAAGGGTGTGGGGCGGGTGCCGAGGCCAAAGGTGGCCAGCACCGCTGGGGCCTCTCCCTGTGTCCGCAGGCAATGGTCATGGAGCAGGCTACCCAGGGCTCCAACCCCCCCGAGCTCCGTGTGCAGTACCTCCGACAGATCCACGCCAACCATGAGGTGAGGCACCATGGAGATATACCCCCAGAGGCCAGTGTGAGGGCTGTCCCCGGGGCCTGACCCCTGCCCTGCCCTGCAGATGCTGCTACGGGAGGTGCAGGCCCTGCGTGACCAGCTGTGCACGGAGGACGAGACTGGTGCCTGTGCAGCGGCTCAGCGGCTCCTGGAGGTGTACGGACAGCTGCGTAACCCCAGCCTCGTGCTGCTCTGAGCTGCCTGCTGGCCCACAGCCCTCATGGTCCCCAGCCCCCACAGCTCCCGGCCCCCACAGCCCCCAGCCCTCCCAGCCTTCAGCCCACAAGCCCCCACAGCCCCCGGCCTTCCCAGCCCACAGCCCCCAGCCCTCCCGGCCCCCAGCTCACAGCCCCCATAGCCCCCGGCCCTCCCGACCCCCCACAGCCCCTGGCCCACAAGCCCCCACAGCCCCCTGGCCCTCACAGCCCCCAGCCCTCCCGGCCCCCATCCCACAGCCCCCAGCCCTCCTGGCCCCCACAGCCCCCCAGCCCTCACAGCCCCCATAGCCCCCGGCCCTCCCGGCCCCCACAGCCCCTGGCCCACAAGCCCCTACAGCCCCCAGCCCACAAGCTCCCACAGCCCCGTCCCCACAGCCCACAAGCCCCCGTAGCTAACAGCCCCTGGCCTCCATGGCCTTCGGCCATGTTTTGTGTCACGGGGAAAAGCCCAGGATGCCAGACTTGCCAGGCGCCAGCTGGAGCCACAGATGGGGAGGGGGCCTCACTGCAGGGCTGAGAATGGATGGGGGCCGTGAGGAGGAGGAGCAGGGCTGGGCCACCCGGTGCATCTGTGAGGGTTATCCAGCTGTCGCTTGGACCCGATTGCCCACTGGGGCTGCGAGGCCCTATAGCCAGCCCTGCCCACCTCACCCAGTCACGCAGGGCTGTGGTCCCATGGCCAGCCCTGCCCGCGCTCTCTTGGCTACTCTGTGGTCTGTGCACTGTCCCCCGTGACTTAGTGAATTGTCATGCTGGGAGCCCTGTGTTCCCTGTCTTCTGTTGCCCAGGCAGGGCCCTGGTTTGCAGGCTGTCCTGACTGGAGAGGGGGCCTTCCGCGCCCCGTGGTGCTCGCCCTGCACTGTGGCCTCGCATGATAAGGGAACTTCCTGTCAGTTCACGCTGTGCTGGTTTCTCTTTATTCTTCCCTGAGCTCCCTCTAGAGCCACTGCACGCCGTGACCTGGGTCCGGCGGGGGCCCCACGAGGCCTGCACCCCTGGGCCCACAGGGAGCCCTCCCTGGCCTCCAGTCAGTGGGCAGGGGCGAGCGTGGTCCTTCCTGGCAGGGTCAGCCAGCTTGACCCTGTTCTGAGGAGGCTGGAAGATGGCGCTGCCAACAGCCCGCCTGCACCAGGGGGCAGCCGGGCATGGCCTGCCTTGTTCACGGATACCACAATGGAAGCCTAAGGTGCAGCCGCCGTGGTCCCTCAGCGGACCAAGCTGCTGGACTGCGCCGTCCCTGCCCACTGCACTTCTTGGAGGGTTCCCAGACCCTCCAGACGAGGGCAAGGGCTACAGTAAGAGTCGGGGGGTTTAGGGACGGGGGTCTGCATCCCCAAGGAGGGGGCTCAGGACCGGCGTCGGTGCTGGGCAGGGGCACCCCCGCGGGCCAGGGAGCCCAGGCGAGCTGCGGACTGGCGGGTTCGATGCAGGCAGGGCCTCAGTACTCCCAGAGCGCGGCCCCGCAGGGCGCGTCGGCGTCGGCGCGCAGCAGCCCCGAGGCGCCGCCGCGCAGGTACTTGCCGCTGCGGGCGCGGATGGCCAGGCGGCCGCGCTCGCGGAACTCGAAGACGAAGTCCTCGGCGCGCTCGCCGTCGCTGCACACGCTGCCGTGGCTGCCCGTGTTCCAGAAGCCGCCGCGGCGACCTGCGGGGGGGACGGCACGGTGTGGGCGGGCGGCGCGCGCGCCCCTCCGCCGCCCCGGGCCCGCCGCGGCCGCACCTCGGATCTGGTAGGCGCCGTCGCTGAAGCTGAGGTGGAACACGTCGTAGACGGAGCGGTTCGTGTCCAGCTGGTTGGAGCCGCGGCGGTGGCACACGAAGCCGTCCAGGCCGCGCAGCACCAGCATGGGCCGGTTGATGAGCTTGAGCGTGAACTCCTCGTCCGGGCCTGGCGGGAAAGGGCGTGTGGGGCCGGGTCCCCGCGCCCGGGCTGGCCCGCCTCCCCCAGCGGCGGGGGAGCCTCACCCACGAAGTCCCCCGTGGCCGCCAGCTGCCCGTTCTTCTTCATGGACACGTAGCGCCCGTTGCTGGCTCGGAGCGCCACTCGCCGGCCGCGCCACTCCACCTCAAACATGGTGTTGGCCGAGCTGCAGGGGCAGGGGCGGGTGAGCGGCCGGCGCGAGGGGCAGGGCAGGTGCGGGCGGGACGGGTGCACTCACACTTGCGTGGCCGTAGCCTGGATGCCCCCGTGGGTGACCAGGCTCCAGTAGCCCCCCGTGCAGCAATAGAAGGTGCACTTGGCAGTCTGCTGGTCAATCTGCATTAGGAAGGTCTCGTGGTCCAGTTCTTCGTCCTGATTGGCTGAGACGTTGACCCCTGCGGGGAGGAGATGGGAAGCCCCTGGGGCCAGGGCGTACCCCCACCCCTGGAGCAGGCAGAGGGTCTTCCATAGAAGGGTCCTCCGGGGTTGCCAGTGGGCGCACAGTGCCTGAGGGACCCTTGACGCACAGGCCCTTCGTGCCTGCAAATCCCCCAGGGTGCTGATCCCCCAAGCGGCTTGCCTCTGCTCTATTTATAGTGCCCCTAAGCTGCAGGTGCACCCTGGGGGGTGTCCTTCCACCGCAGCTGGCCAGGTCACTACAGCTGAGCGTCTCGCACCCGCTGCTCCCGGGAGGGGGCGGGAGTGGACTGCAGCTGCTCTCGGCCCCACACTCCCTTTCCCAGGGCAACTGGGCCCTGGGTGCCAGGCTGGGGAAGGGGAGAGTGGTCAGGAACCCAGGGTCCAGCCCCAGCTGGCCCTACAGCTGTGTAGGTCCCGTGGGCAGTGAAGGATAGGCAAGTCCCCAGCAGGGCCCCCCAGGCCAAGGCTGCTCTGCCACAGGTGCCTCCCCCAGCCTGGACATGTGTCCCTTCCCCTGGTGGGAACCGGCCGAGCAGTGGGACCTGCACCCAGAAGAAGGCAAGGTTCTGCTCAGGGAATGGGAGGCGGAACCAGGAGTGCTGGGAGAGGGAGGACAGTGCCCCCAGCTCGCTCTGGCCTGAAGAATGCCAGCTGGAATCAGAGCTGACCCTAGAGGGGTCCCCAGGGGAAGAATGGAGCTCGCTGCTCCTGCCCAAGTACCCAAGCCTCCGGCTCCAGCTCATAGCAGGCCACCAGTGTTCCAGTCACCTGGGCGGGTGGCAGTGGGTCCTGCTCTTGCCCTCAGCATATGTGATGGAGGAGGGGGAGTTGCCAGGTGGGCACTCCGGATCCCCCAGGAGGCAGGGATAGGCACTGCCCACCCCCCACCCTGCCTGCTGCCCCCACCCCGTCCCTCTCTTGGTCCCCCACCAGCCCCGCCCTTGATTAGTGCTGCTGGGCCACTCCTGCAAGTACCATGCCAGGTACAGGCTGGACAGGGGCAACCGTGGCTGCACCATAGCCTCCCATTGCTGTCCCCACCAATGTCCTTGGCCACCGCCACAGACACCATCGCCACTCCTTGTTCCATTTGTCACCCTAGCACCATAACTGCCTATCCCACCGCCAGCATCAGGGTGACACAGCCAGTGCACCCAGGCTGTGCAAGCACACACTATGTCACTGGCCTGTATCCATGGTCCACGGAGTGGACGCTTCCCACACCCACTGTCTGCCCGGCCTGTATCGCTGAACCCAGCCCAGGAAGCAGCATGACAGGAGGTGACCTGACCCAGGAAAGGGGCAGCCAGGGCAGGCTCTCATGCACAGAGGGGACTGGGCCCCTGCCCTGAGGACGCACTGCCGGCACCTGCACCCCAGGCCTCCCTGCCAGGCCACAGAGCCCCAGGGTCAGGGGGTAATAGGCCACTCTGTGGTGTGTGACCCAGCTCAGCTTCTACATGGGCAAGCAGGCACTGGTCACGGTTGTGCCACACAGCTGATAGGCAGTGAGTGACCAGGAGGGGGCAGAGCCAGGCCACACAGCCAGGGGCTGGGAGGGCTGCCTGCTGGCCCCTCTGCCCAGTAGCACTGGGGGGTGCTGCCAACATCTCCTGTAGCCACATGGGGCAATGCTGCCCAGGCCCCTGCCCTGCCTCCCCTCCAGAAAGTAGCTGGTGTCTTGCCCTGCTGGCCCCCGGCTCTGCCTGTCCCAGGTCCCCCAGCCAGCAGTCACCTGGTTGCCCCTCCACTCAACGGGATCCAGGCTGCCCACCAGAGTCTGGCTCCCACGCACGCCTACCTTGGCGCACGGAGACGTAGCGGCCGTTGGCAGCCAGCAGCACCACCTGCGGGTGGCTCTGCTCCAGGTCAAAAAGCTCGTCCTTGCCAGGTCTGGTGTTGCGGCCAGCCTTAAGCGTGCCGGCAGGCCCCACAGGTGCCAGGTAGCGGCCGTCGCAGTCCTTAAACGCCAGCTTGCCCGCCTTGAACTCCAGCGTGTAGCAGGCATGGGCCTCGGGTTCCCGCACTAGGCGGCCGTCACTGCGCAGGTACCGGCTGTCGCAAGCCCTCAGGCAGTACCTGCGGCTCCGGAAGATGAGGGTGAGCAGCGCGTCCACGCCCCATGGCATGTCGCCGCCTGCCGCCATCTCGTCCTCCCGCAGGCACAGGTGCACGTAGCGCCGCCGGCTGGCGCTCAGCAGATGTGCCTGGGGGTGGATGGCCAGGTGCACTGTCCACAGCTCGGTGGCCGAGATGGCCGTGGCGAAGCAGGACAGCTGGTCCTCGGCACCACCGAAGAAGCGGCCGTGCGGCTCCGACTGCAGTGCCCAGTGCCCATCCGGCTGCGGCAGCACCAGGAAGCGGCAATCACGGCCGGGCCGCTCGGCCTCACAGGCCACGCGGCCGTCCTCTGCAGCCGACAGGTAGCGGCCGAGGTGGCTGCTGCGGAAAAGTACGGCTGCACTGTGGACAGGGTCAGGCTCCAGCAGCCACACCTGCTTCCGCTTGAGGCTGAGGGCCGAGGCGTTCACCTTGAAGCCGAAGCTCTCCGCTGTCAGGTAGCGGTCGGCGTCATTGACCAAGCCGAACTGGATCTTGAGCACCTGGTGCAGGCCGTTGGTCGGCATCCTGGGGCTGCCTGGCTCCCGTGGCCAGCT